CTCATGGCAGAGGAGGAGGTGGCTCCGACGCGGGCACTACCCCAACGCCTAGCAACTCCAGCAACGAGCGCCTGTCGAGACCTACCATTAAAGAGGGCGGTGGTTCAGAAGATAGCGATGGGTTTCACACATCCCTATTCTCCATCTTGATTATCTGCCCGCAAACGCACAGCCGCGAGGCCACGACGAAGCATATCGAGATGACGCTGCCAAAGAGTAACCCTCACCAGATTACAGCGGTCGCATCTGTTCAGGAGGCGCGCAAGCTGATCGGTGGTGAGGACCCCGTCTTTTTCACGCACGTGGTGGTTAACCTTCCGACACCTGAGCAGATCATTGAGTTGATGGATGAAGTCCAGCGCTCAACCATGATTGGCCGCGGCGTTACCATCCTCATTCTCTCCGACTCGGTACAGCGACAGGCGGTTCTGAAGCAGGTAGCCGGTACCCAGTATGAGGACATTTTGTCTGAAAACCGGGTGACCTATATCTACAAACCTGTCAAGCCATCACGGTTCGCGGTGATCTTTGATCCGGCCAAGGAGCGTGATCTCAGCATCGACCGGAACAGATCAACGGCAGAGCAGTTAGTGGAAAACCAAAAGCAGAGTTACCTTGAGGTGGAGAAGCGCATGGGCAACAAGGGGTACAAGGTCCTCTTAGTTGAGGATAACTTGGTCAACCAAAAGGTGCTGCAAAAGTATCTCAAGAAGGTCGGCGTGGACGTGGAGTTGGTCGCAGACGGAGTAGAGTGCACTGATGTCGTGTTTTCGCGGCCTCATGATTACTTTTCGTTGATCTTGGTATGTCTTATCACACCCACCGTCTGTTGTTTAGCAAGTGAGCTCTGTACCTAACCATCGTCCCAACAGTGCGATCTCCACATGCCACGCAAGGACGGATATCAAGCCTGCCGCGAGATTCGTGAATGGGAAGCCAAGGGCAACTTTCCAGGGAGGGCGTTACCCATCATCGCCCTGTCGGCAAACGTCATGAGTGACGTCCAGGATAAGTGTCTCCAAGCAGGGTTCAACGACTACGTAACGAAACCTGTCGACTTTATCAACCTGAGTAATGCTCTCTCGAGGTTCTTCTAATAAAGCTGCCGACGGGACCTCACTACATTATTCTTTCACACACAAAAACACGGAAGAGGAAGATAACGGACGGGAAAGGGGAGGGTATGGGAAGTAACGAAGGAAAGAATTGCTGGCAAACGGAAATGGAACTGGCTTTTGCAGGACTGGAAGGGGAGGGTACATCATTGCATATCATCATCCGTCATCCGAAATCATTATCTCATCGTTATTGTTTTCGAACACTTTGTGTTCTGTTGACAACGCTGATAGATAAAGGCGAAAAAACGCACAAAGCCGAAAACTGCGAAGGGAGAGAGAGAGCGAGAATTTTGCTAGAGATACCAGTTGTTATCACACCTTTTCGCTCTCTCTTTCCATGTATCACTAAACATATGTCTTAATTGTCTTTTTCTTTTACTTTCACTTCTGTTGTTTGTCCTTTCCTTCTCGTCTTGTTTATTTTCTACAGGTCTACAGGTAATGAAAAGGGTTTGGTTGGTTGGCGAAGGTTAAGATGGGATGGCTTCTTCTATCTGGCATGAGGATTGGCATCAGGGCATAGTCAATGATTCGAAGAGTTTTTTCTTGTTTGTTATCTGATGTAATGTTGCTCTATGAATGGAATGCATAATGGGAGGTCTCGTTTAGATATCGCTAGTCGACAATAATCACGTTAGATATTTTGTGGCGGAACAACAAAAGATCAAAGTTAAATCAATATGTCGAGAGTGGACATGAAGTCCACCAGTGCGAGTCAAGTCATGGGATATCTTCAAATGATTTCAACAGACCAAATCATGAATGATGAATCCGGCAGAAACCGACAACTCATGACCATACAATACAAACTTGCGAGAGCGATTGGAATTCTGATCAGGTGTTCCTTCGAAGTCCAAAGTGTAATGTGTATATAACCACCTCACATCGCTCCCTCATCACACCTTCAAACACCATCACTTCTGAGCCCCAGACACCAACACCAAAAACGTATGACCATGGACACCAGGACAGTGACTCGAGATCCCGCTCGCCCTCTCATAGATACGCCGGTGACCGCCAGTCCAGTTGTCGTAACGTTGACAACCGCTGTTTCTTATTCTTTTCTTATTTTATTTTATTTTTTATTTCTTTTCCTCCCTCGAAGGTCTTTTGGCTTTACTTTTCGAAGAGAAAGGGCGAGGGAGGGAGTCAGGGACAACCTAGCAGTTCGGCCGCTCGCTCCTTCCCAATTGCTCTCCGTCGCTTCTTCTTCTATACCTCCCGATCGTCATTTTGGGGAAGGCATAACCCCATGGTCTAGGTCGCGGCTTCAACAATTTCCGCAAAGGTTTTCACAGTTGGCGAATCAATTTTTTTGGTAGAATGGAGGCCAAGCTGATGGAGAGGTACAATACCATCTTTTACTATCTCACCCGTAGAGGTATGTGAATTACTGTTATACAATCTTTCTCTCACACATACACACCTCGTCAGACAGGGGTACAAAGCCTGGATTGAGCGCCTGGACATCTAACATACTGCAGTGGAAAAATCAGGAAGTCATGAAGGCTTCCGGGTGATCAAGCAGGCATCTGAATTAAAGTCGGCCTCCAATCTAGGAGCTTCTGCTTGGCCAAGTTATTCGTGCAATGAAGCCATCGCACAGCCTAAATCTTTGTGGTTGTTCTCATAGCGGACTGGCTGGGCAATTCTGTCTCAAAGTCCTCTCGAAAGGAATCATGGTTCTTTCCAGGAAACGAGATCATCAAAGCTTGTCTCATTCAATCACGCCAGTTGTCCAATAACATGGCTCTGTTTCTGTAACTGCCAGTTCGATCCCGTCCGGTATCGTCTTTTTCGTTCCGTGCAAATTTCGTGCCAAAGTGTGAATGCCCTCGTCTACATCCCGGACTTCGAAGTCACAAATCTTTACGCCCACCCGCTTGTCTTTTCCCAGGGTTGGGAGAGACTCCATGGACTCAGGGATGCGTGTAAACCAACGAAGCCTACTACCTGCCAAGAAAGCCTTCCTACTTCTAACCTCCCGATATCAATGCTGCGATACATAATTCTACAAGCTACCGTCGGCTGAGACTGAAACATCCACGTCCACCCTACTCTCCCTCTCACTATGTCCAGTGAAAGTTGTGCAAGCCCCGACAGAACCAAACTGGCGTTCAACCTACCTGCTGGGTACAAGTTAGTCGGTAATATGACACAGCGACACAGCAAGTTGCTGAATCTGGGCTGATTTGAGTCATGTGAGGCGTGAGTCGTGAGAAATAGTGTTACCTAGGCTAGCTAGCTGGCTGGCTGGGATTTCAAGCCTCGACAGCTTCTTCTGACTGGTCTAGGGGTATATAAGTGCACAGTTGTTCTTAACCTACAGAGATGTGGCACTGGCAGGGGGAGCACATAGAACCTTTTTTCCCTTCTTTGTATCACTTAAACAGATACGGACATACACAACACAGATACAGACGCGGATGGCCCTGGTCCCAGCCCTTGGAGCTTGAGCTTGGTGTACCAGCAATGCGGCATGTGAGATTCTAGGCGTGCAGTTTTTGCTTCGCACATCGAACATAGCAAGGAAGCCCCTATTCGATTGAGTACCGGTACACTGGGATATTGGAAGATGAACGTTGTCTGGTGATTACCATTATCAAGATATATCATTCACAGTCTTTAGACTCTTGAAAGGGAAGGATTGCATGTTTCGCACATGATGACAATGGCGTGTCATGCTTTACTTGTGTAGTTAAAGCTTAGTGCTCAGAGCTTTGATACCGGCTCCCACAACTTGTAAAAAGACTACAGCACTTCAATAAACGTACCTGAATAGAATTACACGGAGCAGACGAAAAGTGAAGGTGGGTATTGTTCGAGATATGCCATCCCTCAAAATATACTTCTTTCCTTTCACTACAGTTCACTTCGCTCTTCCATCTCTGGCATCTCCTTTTCCCAGGCTCAGAACTCTTCCTCTTTGTCGCAGACCTTGCCTTGACCGGGTCAGAGACAACCAAAACATACAGGAACTCAGACCATAGTGTCGTCAATCCCCAAAGAAGCAAGTGGATACAGACACAAAAAGCTTGTCTTGGATACAACGGAAAAATCTGCGTAACATGCCAGGAGCTAACAGTGAGACTGCTGTTGTGTAATACTCCTCACCACCACAACCACACCAACAGGAGACAGAGACAGAACAGACAGCGACCGGCCGACCGGCCTGAGACAAATGATAGGTACGTACATACAGTGAGTAGTACATAGCACCGCATTCGACGCCCTTGTGCTGGCCCCCCCATTTCTCAAACGGAACGGAATGGCTGACGGCACGGCCGGTGGCTTTTTCCTTCTCTTCTCGCCTCGTCTCGTCTCGTCCGCCTCGCACTTTTCTTTGTACCATTAGCAAGGTAAATGTGAAAACGAATGACCACGTAGGAGCTGTGCATGGTTATGCGGCCAGAAAATAGTATGGTCACAGTGCATGCCCCGTGAGGCTCAAAGAGAATACCAGGATGTCATCGGAGAGCGGAGCGACAACTGACGAGCACGTACCGAAGCAAATCGCAATTTGGATGAGTTGCTGTACACCAGATGGCCGCGTAACGGTACATGGCTCTGAGAAATCACAGATACAGACCCCTCCCCCCCCTTTCTTCCCTGGTCTTACTATCCCCATACTAAAGAGACCACTCAAAGCTAGCAATGTATGGGAATGCGTGATGGAGGGCATGGTGGTGGTGCCAACTCGGCAGTCTCGGGTGACTTTGAACTGACCCCAAGGGGCGTGTTAGAGAAGGGCTTCAGGTAGCAAAAGCCATCATGCCTGAGGGGAGGATGGGGCAACACAAAGCAGAGAGAGACCCAACGATGAAGGGTCGAATCAGAAATCAAGGTGTGTGGCTGTCGTTGGGAATTGGCAAGCAAAGTGTGTTAGATCGCGTGGCACAGGATCGTGAGACCAGCACCTCTCCACCCCGTCTGTCGTGTCCGGCGGACAAACGGCATACCGGCACCGGCCCAGCGGCGGCGGCGGCGGCGGCATAATCTAGGAACATTGAACTCTCCCTCCGTGGGTGTCGGTCTAGCGAGCTACTCATTGTTGACAAAGTGGACCGGCCAGTTCGGTTGTCCACGGCCCTCTCTCTCTCTCTCTTTCCCGCTGGGGAACCTCAAACGGCCCAACGGCCGGAGACGGGTGAGGGACGGAGGGAGTGGAACAAAAACTTCTGTGTTTCAGGCCGTCAAGGGAGAAGTGTCTCCGCAAAATGCCAACTCATACTTTATCACGTAACGAAAAGAAAGAAAGAGGCCCCCCAGTTTCGAGCGGCATACCGGGGGGCTGCGGACACGCATGCCGGAGATGGTGCGGCACCGGGGGGCGAGCCAGTAGCAGCCGGCAGTCGTACGGGTCCGCAAGGACAGCTGGACGATGGTTGGACATAAGGCCAGCCTAGGAAGGGTCTAGAGGGAACCAGACTCATGCAGTGACGGAAGCAAACAACACGAAGCAGTGGTCTGCCTTAGCTAGAGGTAGTATCAAGTGCGCACATTCTTGTTGGTCAGTACATGCGTGTCAATAGACCAATGGAAATAACCATCACATACCCGGTGGACTTTGTCAGGCTGCGGGAGACGGGAGACGGGGACCCAGAGAGCACTACGGGATCCGGCGGACGGGAGACTCCCGGAACGGGAGGTGCGGATCCAGTACCCACCATCTGCACTAATTTTTTCCTAGTCTTCTTTTTTTTGTGCGTGTGTGTGTGTGTGTGTTGTGTGGTTGCTGTCCCCTTTATTCTACCGAGTCGTTGGGTCTACACTAGGTACACATACTGGTACGGCTTCGCCACGGCCACAAACAACCGCCCAATTCAACACAACGGCGGACACGTTTTCGCTCAAGGCTACCTGCGGTCATTGCATTCCTACCAATAGAATGAGCTATCACATAACTAACAGACATCATGATGAATTTGGCTTCACGAATATGCACCCAATTGCCAACCCCAAACAACGGCGTTGAAACGAGCACACTTTGTTAGTGGGGGCTCGCCGTCCAACATTGTGATGGATGCTCATTTGATACGTTGTTGGGTAAAATTGAAGGTGTTGGTGTTCATGCCACAACAGTGGAGATGAATCTTTTTGGGTTGACCTGAGTTTCCAAGACAAAACGAACGCCGCGGGCGCTCCGTCTCTCGCTCTCGCTTTCTTCATTCACTTTGATACAGTGCAATTGCCAGGCGGCATAGAAAGAAATCGATGGAACGAATGCTGGGGATTGTAGCGGACAAACTCCCTCCACCTACGGGCAGGTACATAGACTACCCAGCAAAAGACGACCTGCACGTAAACAGAGCCGCAAAAAGCAACCACCTGGCGGCTGCTGGCAGCCATTGGTAGCTACATAACCGTTGACTGCCCATGGGCAAAAGGGATGAGCTTCATGGATGATGATGATGCATTGCTCGCTTACTTACCGTGTACTTTTCGAGCTCGGAGCTGACCGGCTTCAGCTTTGGGCATGAGATCGGAAAGAAAAGACCTTGTCTCCCTTGCGTTCGCTCGGCCGATCGATGTCACGAAATTGGCCCCCGTCTTTGCTGCCAGCATTGACACATTCTCCATGTCGAAAACTGATGAAACAATGGCCATGTCACAATGTCCGGGAGCTGCTGGAACGGTGGTGACGCAAAAAGTGAAAAAGGCGAATTCCACCCCAAAATTCCCATTCTCGAGTGGGGTCCGTGTCGGGACCTGGGTGGGGCCGTTGACAGCTGGTTAACTCGCGCTAATCGGTTCCTATCCGAAGTGCCCGGGCAGTTGGGCGGACCTGCGGCAGATCCCCCAGCCTGAGTCCTGCAGGGCGGCCCAGCCCACAGGAACCAAAGCGGTCCATGCCAGCTGCCCCTGATCACCCAGGCAGACAGCCTCAACCTCCAGCTGGCCCTTCAAAGAGCCGCCGAGTGCAGGTGCGGCCGATGAGGATCGGAGGGATCGATCGGTTTGGTAATCGAACATTCAGTTGCCTCGAAATGCCGATTGCCCGCACATGCCCCTTGCCTGATCGCAGACGCAGGCTGAAACGAGCTCACAGCTATCGCCAAGTGGTGGCAGCTTAACATGCCAGGAATACCAATAATGAAACTGCTTCCTTTGATGCAAGCTCGTTCGGTGCAAATTTCCCAAGGATTTTCTGTTTTGAGTTCTCTACCTCAAGGTACACTTAACTTCGGGCGACTTAACTTAGCTTGTGTCCCTTGCCGCAGATCCTTGGCTGCTCCTAAAAGGAGATGGACAAATAGATTACCGTCAACTGCGCTGCACACGCCCTTTCTCGTTCCAACCTCCAAACAGCACTGCAACTGTGCAATATCCCAATTACGGATCCTTTTCTTTCTTCACCCCCCCTTTTTTTCCTGCCGTAACACGTCCCACGATGTGAACATGGCTCGATGGCAGCGCGAGGAATGGCACGATAATCTCCCGCCCCCAAAACAGCACGGGCCATGGGGTGGCTTCTCCTTTTTGACTCACTTTGTTGGAACCTTGGATGTACCTAACAAAGGTGTGAAGCGTGAGCCTTCTGAATTTTCAATGGTGTTTCGCAGTTCTAGGGGTATCCATGGACGAGCTACAGTGACTCACTTGCTGTTAAATCAAGCAGAAAGCTCTATCCCTACCTCTCCCCAGCCTGCTCGAGCCTGCTTTCCGTGGGTTTCACTCCCGTCGGCACCGAATCCGAACCGCGATGTCGCCATCCCCGCCGCAGCCTTCCTGAAGGCAGGGTGAGCTGGGCTGACGATGCTAGGCGGACAGTGGCAGCCCAAAAGTCCAGACCAAGCCAAGACCGAAACTCCGCTTAAATTTTTTAACCCATGACGGAAATTTCGAGTTGATGCTGGCACTCTCATGAAGCTGACGCGAAAACTTTGATGGTCATCAGCCTCAATCAGTTCCTCCCTTCAGTCCATTGCACAGTCATAGATCGGTATCGATGGTATCGATCCGGTGGCTCCCGACCAGGAAGATGAAAGAAAAAAGAAAAAAGAAAAAAAAGAGATCCTCAATGTCAAATTTTAGAGACTTCCAGAAGAGCCCACAGCTGTCCCAAAAGTACAAACTAGTGTATGAGCAATACCCTGGAGGGGGAAATATCAAATTGAACAAAAATAGCACCAAGATATTGCCTATGGAGGCCATGTGTACGCAGGTACGACAAACATTGGCCCCGTTCCGCTGCGGGCAGCAGCAGAAGTCCGATCACGGCGGCCCGGGAGCTCTTGTCGCGGCCAAACATGTCCGCAGGCAATTTCAACAAAGTGAAAGCTCCATCGACTCACGAACCTCATCAGCGTCATCATCGGCCCAGCATGGTGCGTGTGCCGTACGGTACGGGGTACAGCAGAAGCTCTTCCAACAGGCAGCTCCATACATCACACGTTCCCAAAGCGAATACCAAGCCCCAGGGCAATGCGTCAAGCCGCGCCAAAGTTGTACACAGTAGACCAACACTTTGCCCCAAGGACTCCATATCGAGACAAGGATACGTGGTGTTGTCCAGCTCACGAAACTTTCAAAATTTGCAGCAGAATCCGATGGCGACAAGTGACACACACGCCCTCTCTTTCTGCACAGCAAAGCAGGGTCTCATCATGGATCCCTTTTCTCCCATAACATGTACCAATCGCATACCCTCACGTCATCGGCGTAAATGTGTTTTTTTTTTTTTTTTTTTTTTTTTTTTTCTGGGTCATGGCATGGCATTGACCAATTCGGTTGCAACAGCACCAAACGTGAAACCCTAAACCAAAAAAAAAATAGGGGCTAATTGTGACATTTGTAAAGGCCGAAACAAGCCAGTCTTCATGCCGAAAGAAAGCGAACCAAACGTTTTCCAAGGCAAGAAGAGACGCCCTCGCGCGATTACGGTTTCCGCACAAACGCGCGCTTGTTCTTTTTTTTTTTTTCTTGTTTCTTTTTTGTTCCTTGCCTTCATAGGTGGGCGCAATGCCAGAACTGCCGCCGCCGCCGAAGATTCCCGGGGCCGAATGCTGAGGTCCGAATAATTCCGATAGGGTGAACTTCATCACTACCATACCATTATCACCATTGCTCCTGAGGGCAGAAACACTACTTACTAATCTGTCATGAACAACGTGGGGGCTTCGAACGGTTCAATGATGCGGTCGTTGAAGAGTTTTGCTTCCAAGGTCCTTTATGTAGCCTCAATGTATGATCTCAAGGACTGTGGGAGATAAACAGCTTTATATAACCAGCGATATAGGGCGACCATCCAAGCCGCACGTCGCTAATCTGCGTGATGGTTAAATGTTCATGCAGTGAGTATGAAGCGGTACATATCATGTTATTATGCAACAGTGATGAACCGTACCTGTCTTGGACTTGCATTGCCTTGTTTTCTTCGATATACCTATCTCGTGTTCACATGTATAATCAACCAAAGGTCCTACGGTTCCAGTCTTACAACCTACACTACTGTGTACTGATACTGAGGTATGGATCGCACCGGCAAATCTTCTTCTTGGAGCTCTTCACTTGGTTGTTCGATATGGTTCAGCATTGAATACCCTAGTTACCTAGGTATCACCAGTTACACTTCCTTAGCTTCCATAATTGAAAATCAAATTGATATCGAGTCTATATCCCAAATTAAAACTCCATACTAGTAACTTCCAGGCTGAGCCAGGGTAGCCAAATTGTGGTAACCCCAATCACATTCCGGTACCGTACCCCGTGGCCGGTTTACCGTTCCGACTCTCAACCGCTCCGCCAATCATATGTCTGGATTCTTGTTTCAAAATTTCTTCCTCGACGAGAAGTATCACGATGATACTAGACAGGTTTTATGCTGCGTTATGCGTATAGTGTACCTCTACCAACGCCAGGCTGCTAACGTCACAGGACTATGTATGAGCTTCAGATCTCCAAACCAGCCAGGTAAGCACGTGTAATGCCTAACAGCCTGACATGATTCTTTCAATGATGCGATCAACTTGTTTCACGTGTTGACAAAGTGTAAAAGCCGACGGATGAGACATTCATCCGTTAAACAAAGTGGAACTTGGATCCCTCCGGCCGTTGCTGTCTCTTACTCGTAAATCCCGCCCCGGCCGATTCCCGGTCTGTAGTAACATCTTTCGGCGCTCCAACGGCCGCTCACTACCGGAGCACGTGCGGAGGACTCCGTGACAATTAGCCCAACACGGAATTTACGCACAACGGTGCGCCAACTGTTGGGTCCTGTGCCGGGTGACTACTAACGAATGCCCATACGAGCTCCGCCTAACTCAGCTAGAGCTGATGCCCAGGCTATCTGGGCCGTTCGGCGTGGTTCGTTGCTCAGAATTGCTGGTGCGAGAAACGGGGAACTTACGACAACCGAACCACATCTCCCGTCATTTTCAGCACCTCCACCTCGACAGCCCAGGGCCCACCAACTGTTACATATACACAGTCGTACCGAAACCGCGACTTCAAATACTTTGAAATAAAGGGGATTAATTAGCCCTTTTGAACTCCAACGCTTGTGAGAAGCATAGCGAGAAGAAAAGACGGATCTGCAATGACAGTACCACAGTGCACGATTACCAAGATACCACAGCGACCAGCATAATGCTGCCCAAAAGCCAGGAACCGTTCCTGACGATCAGCACTGTATCATGTACCGAATTTCTGTGATTTTTGTCTTCTTCTCTTCTTTTCTTTTTCCTTTTTTTCTCCGTCTTCAAAGGTTTTTAGCATAGTAGCCCTGACTGTAACCCTCCCTCCCTCCCTCCCTCCCGTCACCAGCCGAAGAAGCAGATCACCGTCCCACCTCGCTGCCCGCGCCCGCCATTCGGGACCTGCGCCGAGCGCGGGCGCGGGACGCCGGGAGCGCAGCACCGCACCCCAAGGGCCAAGGCCCAAAAACCTCAACCCACTAAAATGGGCGCCCACGAAATTGCAAAGTTCCAGGAATTCCCGTGATATCTTACGTTGTTTAGTGTATATGATCTCATGATCTTATCCCTCTCCCAAAAAGAAACCCGGTACATAAGTAGGATCTTGGATTTCAGGGCCTTGAAGACCTTGGCGTTAGGGTTCTCTATTCGGGTCCGCAATCCGAAGTGTTACCTTTTGACCCCGGCCGGTGAACTGCCGGCATCGAGTCAGTCCCTGTTGTTGAGAGATTCGGACATTCCCATCAAACTCAAGGCCGAAATCGCACTACATACCTGTTTATTACTTCCCGGATTTCGAAGTCTTCGATCAGGCCGATTAGAAATTCAAGACGAAAACCGTCATCAGCATCAGCATCCGGATCGGGATCGGGATCGGGATTCGGGACGCGGGTGAGACGGGGCAGTCCTTGACGTTGCGGAGCCGCAAGACATTTGAGTTTTCTGGGAATGCGGCTCCAAAACCCCCCGAGAAAAAAAAAAAAAAAGTACGGCCAGCTCGGAGCCATATCACTGCTAGTGCCAGCAAATACATACCTACAGCAAACCTACAAAGTCTCCGAACCCCGCTCCCCGACAGTCGCTCGGCCCTTGCGTGTATGCGCGGCTCTTGTGCCAAATTAACCTCCTCTCACGAAACTCACCGACCAGTACCTCAAACGCTGGGCTTGTCTGTTAGCATGGTGTTGCTGCACACGGTGTACCTACTCACAGGCCCGGGGGGCCGGGGAAAGCGGGCTACGGGGCTACGGGGCTACGGGCAGGCTACCAAGGAGCCTGGCATGTCCAGAAGCTGGCGTGCTTGGCGGTCGGGAGCCGTAGCTAGGCTCCCAGGAAGGCGGTAGGCGGTGATCGGGGAGTTCGGGCATCGGTGAAGGACCTGGGTGGATATGAAGCTCAAAGCGGAACCGGGACGAACATCAGGACCTTGACGGCTCATCAGCGGTAAAGCGCGGCTCAGAAAGGCTCGTATGTATGCGGTGAAGTGAAATGATCGTTGATGCCCTTGTCGGCCTCGTGATGTTCCATGTTCCAGAATGTGTGTTATCAATCTTCAGTGTTCACGTGGACATGGAGTCAGGGCAGGCAGGGCACATTCAGGGCAAGCAGGCAGTTGTGAACTCTGATTTTCACTTTCGCTCGCCCGTTCGCCCGCTCGCCCTTTTTCTCGCTGTTGTTTTTGACCTTGAGCGGCTCATCATCAGACACGTTAGGGATATTGAATAAGACAATAAGAAATTTTTCTTCTTTGTGTGCTTTCTAGAGAACGCCACTTACTCATCTATCACTACCAACCAGCCGGCCACGCGGTGTGGTTGTGGATTGTGGTGCGCGGCCGTCCCGTCCGTCGGCGTCTCCGCTCGTTTTCGTTTTGTGCCTTTCGGGTGCCTGCCCGACCACTTGGGTCGCGCCCCATCCGCATTCCCCTACCGTCATGGGTTTGGTTTTTCTGAGAGTGGGAAGAGGCTGAGAAGGCGCATGAGGCTCCGCTCCGCCTTTTTGCTTTTTTTGCTTTTGTTCGGCTGCTTTGTCCCGCATTTTCCTTCTGCTTCTTTCTGTTTTGGGTTATGTCTGTTTTGGTACGTTCCGGTCTGTCACTTTTTCCTCTAGGGTCACATTATGTATCGTAATGTGATGGGACCGGATGACTGGTGTGCCCAGTGAGAAGATGGACGGCCAGGCCACCGGACTTCCTTTTTATGATGCGTATGTTGATGGAATGGAATAGGTAAGAAGAGGTGATTGATGATCATCGTGGTGAATTCAAGGATTTGTGACCTGGGAGTTGGTGCAATGACTCCGCAGTCTCGCGCAAGCGACTGCCGCGGACCACCAACCAAACAGCGATCTGATGCACATGTCCAATGTCTCTTTGCGACACATGCCGCTATTTTCAACTCTGATTGCGTGGAAAGCCGAAAATAACCTTTCTGTGGGAGAACAGCATCTGCCTGCCGGCAGCTGTGAGGGGGATCAACATCATCCTTCACGACATGTCAACCAGAAGGATAGCAACATCAAACTTGCTAAACTCGCTCATCACGTTAACGGGAGCGTGACCACTTGTCGATGCAGGACGAGTCCACACCACGCAATCCAAATCATTTGAAACAGCATGACGGCCCTTTCAGAAATAGAATACATACATAGGTAGACGTCAGCAGTGTACGTATCTTCTCAACAACGAACAAGAACCAGATTCGCCCGCCTGCACCGCTTTGGGCAACGCTGGCCCTACGGGCCCTACGGACGGCGCCCCGTGCGGCGGATAAACATCCGCCCCACTCACGACGACTTGGACGTTTACACGAACCGCGGTTGGGATCGTTTCATCTGTGTACACTAGTGCAAGCAAGAGTATGTAGCTCTCTTCGCTGGCATTACCCCAGTACCCAGTAGTTGTCTATGAGGGGAGGGTGAAACCTGCAATTTGGCGTAAGGGTAAAAAGCTATGGGGAGATTTGGAAAAAGCTCTTTTCTCGTACGAGTTCGTGTACGTGCGTAGAAAAACCCCCCCAGAGGAAACAAATTCCCATCTCATTCGCCGAGTTTTGCTGTCGTACGCTGACGGCCAGCTGGCAAGCATCGTGGTGTTTCCAACTTCACCCCTCGCGCTTTTCAGAGGTTGGTTGGTTTAATAAATCCAATTACTCAGGGTTCCGGTTTCGTTTCTGTCAGTACGTACCTTGGTATTACCCCCAGGCCTTTTGGGGATCACCTCCAAACATATCGACTTCCTGATTGTCGACCTTCCCGAGCACCTACGTATGTGTGTGTACGGAGAAGACTTAGCTAGGTACCTAGTCTTCGAGCAGGAATGGGTAGACTTTTCGCCCAATTGCATGTCATCACAAAACGTATCGAATCGACGATCAAGTCCTCTTCATATGGTCGTTGACGTCCTGTGACCGCCGTCTATCTATGAGCTGTCCAAAACTCTCCGCATATGCGTTCCCTTCCCTTGCTTTTCCCACCCGCATCCTCCCAGACTCACAAAGCGAATCACTTCTTTCTCCTCGCGGTCCTCGTCTATCACATCAGGCAGATACTCCAGTGTCACAGCATCAAAGCGCCACCTAGGGGTTGTCGAGTTGCCGCCAGCAGGAGCCTATGAAGCTCTGAGCGGGGGTCTTCCTCGCCACTGAATCGGAGCACCACACGAGCATTCTTGCATCGTCACTGTTATCTTTTCGTGTGAGGTGCGTGGTTTGTGTGGTGCTCTCTCAACTTTGCATCACGACATGAGCCGATATCGGAAGGTTTTGTTGGATTACGGACGGACGGACGAAACAGGTAAGGGGAGGGAAAGGAAGGGGACCCATTTTCGTGATAGGGTCATCGTGATCTTATCCGCTTGTTCATCTACTTTTCTTTCTTGACTTCTCTCAGGGCCCGGCCCAATCCAAACTGGATGTCGGGGGTCCTTGGATCCGTTCATCGTGAGCGCCAGAGAGAGAGAGAGGCTCGGGGGAGGGGGGGAGGGGGAGAGGAACATGAGATGTGAGGATGGGGCGTCTTCTTCGGCCAAGCCTACGTAGCTTCTCTTCAAAGTCTTCGTCTGTGCCTCCCACAGAAAAGCTTTTTAACTTGTAACGTGGCCCAACGTTTTCTGACTGGGCTTCCGTCACTGGACCTCAAAATTATCCATGTTCGCGTGGCACAGCCCGTTTTTTTTTTTTTTTCTTCTTCTTCACTTTTGTTTTCTTTCTCTTTGTGGCCAAAGTGAGGCGGGCTCGGCGGGGAGGACAGCTTCTGGTTGGAGGCTGATCCCGCGAATTAGTTCAACCTTTGGGGAGAAAGCTTGAGAATAGAGAGGCTCGTTCGTTAATCTGGTTGGACCGGGGAATTGATGAGAGAACACGGAGGGACATGACTGGGGCCTACACTAGTTTACGCTACTGCAAAGAGAAGGGAAAGGGTTCCAGTTGGGTGAATTGGGTGGGTGAAGTGTGGATTTCCTCTTCTATTTGGGCGAGTGCCCTGCTTCGCAGATGGGTGGGTCAAACAATCCTGAGATATCTGGAATTGCCATATTCATGCCGTCCAGTTGTAAAATCCGCCGGTGCACGAGAAAGCGGAGAGGAGGGCCCCTTTGTTCGATTGTCAACAGCCAGAATAGTACCTACCTTTCTTCCTTTGTGCTGTGCAGTGGTCTTCTGTAGTGTACCTGACGGGAAGCCATTTGGAAAAGCTGCACTCCCCTGGTTTGCCAACTGCCATGTTTTTGTCCAAATCCGCCGGCGATCATCTCAATGGTGCCGTCTTGTATCCATATGAGCACACACGTCACGCAATACCACGAGTCACTTCCCATGAATGGCTGTGCTCCGTGTTAATGAATGCACCAAGGTCTAAGAAAGCTTGAGCTCTGCCGTGCTTTTGTGTGACAGAAATGGGTCCCTTAACTTGGTTGGTCCCTTTTCAACTTTTTGTTTGGGCGATCTCGCGGCTCGGCCCATTGGGTCAGGGGTTTTTGCCAAGTATTCGACCTATAGCCTAGCTAGTGTCTACCTTTATGTTACCAAGTCCAAAAAAAAGTCGGCGTTGGGCTTTAACGAAAGGGCGATCAATTCAATCAGCCCCTCCCCATTGTTCGGATCCGCTCCCCAAAGGCGAAGCAGAACTTGAAAGAAACCAACAGTTTGCTGGTGTCTTGGACGGGCGGAACATTGTGCGGAAGCCTGGCGGTCGGGCACGGAAATGGATCTCCGGATTTAGAAGTACCTATTCGTTCGTCTCAGATGGCGGAAGCCAATGGTTCGAGCACCGGACGAACAGGATCATGCAAAGTCCGAGACATTCTGAGTGCAAGGGCGCCTGTCGAATGTCATAAACAGCGCAATGCAGAATTGGCCATCTTCACAGAGTGCAGGCAGGATGATGCATTGGATGCGAAAGTGTTGAGCATGAAGACTCTTTGTATTCATTCAGGTCCATGACCAAAAAATAGTTCAGGATCATCTTTTTCGCGGTTCTTTTGCCGCTTGCAATGTTATGATATCCCGTCTCCAACTCCTCCGCTCAATCATACAATAAACAATTGCTATCATGGCACTGATAATGTTGTGCCTCTTTTAATATGATCCAAATGCCCAGCAAAAGTCCCTTAACAACTCATGCCAGAGCCGAGTCTGACCCGCGTATCCCATACCCATAGCTAGCAAACAACCAAATCTCCCGGCTTCCCAGATGCAAGTGCTTTGACAAAGGAAAATTGTAGTCGACCCAAAATGTATCAATGCGGTACATGGAATATCTCCCATCCCAGTACCCCAAAAAGCTGAAGCCCGCCCATGCGCCGAATTTCTTGAACTTGCGAAAAACAATCAAAAGCAGATTCCCAATCCCCGAGGTTTGACCCAGACATTTTTATGATGCTGTGCTCCGATGTATGCCTTTTTTGATATAACAACTGTAAAGAAACAAACGAAACAAGATGGCCGAGTCGAGTCGTGTAATGTTCTATGCTTGAACAGTGGTCGAGTGAGGTGAGGGGTATAGTCGCTGATAATAAACAAGGTAGTGGTGTGAATGGTGCGTCGATCTTTTTAGTTGGAAGATCGCCTGCGTTGCAGCCTGACGGACTCGAACGAGTGGGCATATGCTTGGAGCTCCCTGGCCGCCTTTTCAGACATGCCAGAGTGGCTGTGGCTGAGGCCCGCCGATGATGTGCTCTTCATGGAGCAAAGGCTAGTGTGCGAGCTCGAGGGAGATAGTGTCCTGCTCGATTGGGTGCTGAAGTTGGAAGCGGGGGAGAGGTAGGACTGGTTGCTCGATGATGTAGACTTGTTGAAAGACCAGTCGAAGGAAGGGCCGTTCAGGCTGGGGGAGCTAGGACCGGAGCTGGAGGCAGAGTTGGTCTCGTAGTCGGCCAGGCGGCAGGACTCGGAGCAGTAGGCAGCGCCATCATCAGTCTGCTTGTCGCAGGTGAGGCAGAACTGGAGTGCCCAATCCTCGAAAGACATGATGTCGGTTGTGTGTGGGTTTGTTGTTGTGTAGTCTGGAAAACTCGCTCGAGGCTGCAAGCTCAGCGTGGGCCGGGTGGGCTAATGGAGTGACTGGTTGATGGTCTGATTGACGCGAAGCTGAATTGGCTTAATTGGAAGCTGTGTCGAGCTGTTGTGGTGGTTGTTTTCAAAGTCCAAGCTGCGGGTCTTTCTCTTGTGTGTGTGTGTGCTGGTAGGTTGCTGTTGGTATTATTGTATTGTAGTTGGATTGCCTGTTGCTTGCTTTCCAGAGCAGTGTTGCAGAGGGAAGAAGAAGAGAGAGTGAAGTGGTGGTTGTTGTTGTGTGTTGATGCCGATTCTGGAAGTGAGGTTTGCTCGAAGGAGAGCTGGGGGAAAGTTGGGTTATGTAGGCTGTCGACCTTGGATGAGTCCGACGTGCGCCTGCCCTCCCCGGTCATTGCCAATCGTCCCAGTCAGTCCAGTCACTGCGGTGCATGCTGCCCGTGGGTGTGAGGCAGAGGCCCATGACCAGCTCGAAGGCCCCACCCGCGCCCACTCAGACATTGGCGCCGGTGGAGGTACGCAGATCGAGGATACACAGGGGTATCGTAGGCCGTAGTCCACACTCGAAAGGTACACAGTACGGCAAGTCTCGAAGCCACACGTCCCTTTCCACTTGCTGCTGGCCGGGGTGTGTTGGGAACTCACTGAAGGAGCAGGGGGATGAGGGTCAGGGAGTGGTGTGGACCCGGTCTCTGCCAGACTGGTACCAGAGGGGGTGCATCTGGGCATGCCAATCTGCACTATACGCAGTACGTACCTCTAGTATGCCTTGTTCGAGGGTAGCCCCATAGTGTTTTTCCCAGAGCGTGAAGTGACAACTAAAAGAGAGGTCGCACAGAGTTCTCAGAGGGGTACCTGAGGGGGTGGGAGAAATTTTCTTTTTGGAAGGCGTGAACTTAGCGAGAATGGGACCATGCTGGCTGGTCGTGGCACCACTTTGGTTCGTTATGAGCAAGAAGAGCGGGTCTGTCAGTCTGTCCTTGTGCTTGGCGAATCACTCGCCAGTGGAAGTCGCCAGTTGAGCCAGTCTCTGCTTCAGCTTTCCCTCTGGGCATTGGGGCAGTGGGCAGCACTCCAGTCCAGTCTGAGGTGCTGTTGAGAGGCGTGACCATCTCACATTGGCGGCCCCTCAGTCTTCGTCAGTCTGCTGCCCAAAGAGTTTTTTCTCCTCTTTGTCTCACTGCGTGTCAATTCCAGGTTGCTTTGGTACTGATTACAAGTAGTGTACACTATTGCCCGAATATCCTAGGCCCCAATGCTTTGGTGGTTAGGGCTGTGCTGGCAGTGGTAGGTAGGTAGCCAGAACCCTCACTTCCTTGCAGATCTCGATGACCCCAAAGAGAACTGAAGGGAAGTGAGGAGACTGCCTTGTCAACACACTGCAAACCCGCTATTACACCATCTCACTGAAGGAACCAGAACTTGAATTGGTCACAGAGTAGGTAGTGTGTACTGCGTACCTCCATGGCAGAAGGAAGTGAAAATTTTTCCTTCCTGGTCATCCACGGTCATGAATCATTCAGCAGCGCTGTTGCTCAGAGGGCACGGGCTTGAATTGGAATTTCACAATCAAAAGTTTCCCCAGTTTTTAGGTGGTCTTGGACCTCTTTTCTGCACGTCCGCCACGTCTTGTCTCATTTGCCTCTCTTGCGTGTCGTTCGAGCCAAACAGCACGCAATTTCGCAGCATCCAACTAGTTTTCCGTCAGCCTGAGCCTCAACTTCAATTCGACTCACCAACCAGCGCTAGACCCCCCTGAATCTCTCTCGCCGGTCTCGCATGTCTTGCCATTTGGAAAATCTCTGCACTGGCACGGGCTTCACATTGGAGCAAGTCGCAAGATCGCACATCAGGCGTTTTTGCAGTTTGTGTCCCCCTCTCGGGCTTCAGCGACCTCCATTGGGTACTGTACCTCACTCAAGTCTTGCCCAGTACAGACAGACTTGCTCGAGTGAGGTCGATACACGCTGATGGCGGCGGGCCCGCTGGCCGCTGCAACACCAAGATGCGAAACCCGCCCATGGTGAGACGGCATGTTTCCAGTCCTTGTGCTTCCAGAGTGTCATCCTGTGCTTCCAAGCTTCAGTCACATCAACTGACTCTGTCTCTTGTTGTCTCTGGCGCCGTTGCCGGCAAGCCGGAGGATAAAACAACAACAACAACAACAACAAGGCAGCATCATCAGAACCAAAAACATCCTAGAGCAACAAAGCTTCGGCCGCTGGAAAAAGTCTGGCGTGGGGGGTTCTAATCAGTGAACAGTGAATGTGGAACATTGCGTCCCAACAGACCGGAGTATTTGGTATGTCTATCGAAGCCACAAGTCCTTCTCGCCATCACTGCGCTGCACTTTCACGATACATCTATATACATTATCGCCTACATCCAGGTGGTGTTCAGGCGGTGGTAATCGTGAATGAAGGCACGCAAGAAATGAGTGGGCATTGGCGACTTTTACTGCTTGTGATGGTTGTTGCCCCCTGCTGCCTCTGCACACTGCGGTGCGACCTTGTCCCGTCTCTCGTCTTCACTCCCGTCCCCTCTTTCTCCCTCTCTATCGAGAGCTTTATCGGCGACGCCCTTCTTGAGAAGACACAGGATTATACATGGCCCCCCGAGGCTCTCGCACCCGGTAACCGCACCCACCAATCCCCATGCCTGTTCAAGCTCGTCATGAAGCCGGGTGAGGAACAGGTGTGGCCATTGGACTGCTTTATTGGCCGCTCTTCCCCTCGGTCTGGTCCAGGAGTCTCGACAACACCAGCCCGAAATGGTATGAACTCCCTTGCCCTTAGAGTTCTCAGCACTCCAAGAGGCGCCCCCGGTGCGACCCTCGAATTTCTTTTGGGCCAAGAGCTAGTGGCTTGCACCCCGGAAGAACAAAAGAAGAAACCAATAAGCCAAGGCCCGAAATTGAACATTGTGTTGACCGTTGGTGTCGTCTCGCTGTCTGCCCCCTTCATTCCTTACATCAACTGGTAGTAGCTCCACGATCTGGAGAGGATCACATAGATACGGCCAGCTCTAGACTCGCAAGCTCAGAATCTTCGGGCTGTTGAGTGTTGAGCTTCACGACGTGAGCCAGCTTGCCAACCTCCGGCCTATGCTGGTCGCTTCAGCCAAATGGCACTCACAACATAGCCTACAACCTGCATCTACAACATGATGATTCCCTTTCCCAACCTAACCCCAACGCCGATGGCAAATTTGTTGCCTATGTACACCCACCTATCCAAGGCCCTGACGAGAACACTGCGCACTAATCAGCACCCCTTCACCTTCAAAGGACACGCCCTCCAATCTTCACGCCCTCGCGCCAACCCCGTCCTCGCTTTGGGTGTCCCTCGTCGTGGCATCGGCTGCGAGGACAAGGATGTGCTCGTTATGGCTCTAAACTGCTTTCAGTTTGACCTGCAGCTGCTGCACCTCACAACCACATTCCTTTCAACAAATCATCTTCGCTCTCTCCCCGCACCTATCTTCAACTCGTATATGGCAGGGGGGCAGCCAAGAAGACTGGCAAAGCTCTCACTGCTGTCGTGCGCCGTGCCGGCCTCTGGGCTCTGGAGCGCTAGTCGGGAAACCTGATAGGGAAGGGGTCGCATGAGTCCGTCTGGTCCAGATATCACAGTTGATGGCGACCTCCTACGCGGCCTCGCTTGATGGCGTGCAGAGTCGCCATATCACCGTCTGAGCATTGAAAATGCTGGCGTTGGACGACAGGTAAAGTGCTCTACACGACACTGCGTACATGATGGTCTGGTCCGCAAAAAAAGGTTCGGAGTGGCACCATTGCACTGCTCACGACAGATCCTGCTACCCGCCGCCGATGGCATATCTCCTGATCGACAACGAGAAACATAGAGTGGTTTGCCAGATTCGCAACACGACGCTCCAGGGCAAGCGCTTCTCGAAACATCTCGTTTGCACCTTATATGTGCTTTGCCTTCAATCTGCACGCAGCTCAATGGGCATATTACCGATATGATCGCATGCAACATCAACGACGCAACGAGATGATGGAAATGTCACGGGTGTTGTTTTCGTGCACAGTACGGTACCCAGCAGCGGCAAGTCAGGCGATTCGTTCGACGCTGTTTTGGCTGCCTCCGCTGCGGGAGTGCACCCCAGCTCTCCACTGCAAGAAGCCAAGAAAGACCTTATCCAGTGGACAGTGACATTGGCGGGCATCCCATGTGGCGGTTGCCCCACACTGATACACTAGAGACTGGTGGGCTATCTTGGTGATGTTTGTGGGGATGGAGATCGGGTCCATGGGAATGCCAGGAACTCGATATCTCGCAGGTCCTCCTCCTCTTCATCATCCCACACGCCGTGGTTTTCATCGGCTTGGCAGTCATTCATCGTGACTTTGCCGTTGGTTCCCACGATGCGAACGCAGGAACCCCCCACAGACCTATAGATAGGTCTCATGGACAAAGAACCAAGAGGTCGGGGGGTTCAACGTTTCCTTGAGCATGATGGGCAAGCTCAGGGTAAGATATCACGGATGTGTACATCATTTCTGATAACCCCCACAGTCGAATACCAGGACATGTGTGGACTTTTTTGGGCCATTTTCGGCCGCGAATATGAGCGATAGTCAACCCAGATGAAGTCTGATATCCATATTACAACGCTCCTTGCTCGGCAGATAAATTACAGCAATCCTCAAAGCCATCGGAGCCCCTATTCGGAGATAAGGCTGAATTCCTTTCGAGATGGCTTCCGTCTGCCACATTGAATACCTACCCTTGATCATGCGGAGGTAGCAAAACATTCTGACTTCGGAACAAAGATCTATCGCAATACCTAGGGCAGAGCTTCGACTGGGGACCTTGAAAGCTAAAATGAAGGTGTACACGATTAGCTCGTGCGCGCTTGGGATTTCCCCATCGAGTACTGCGCAAGGATTGTAGCGGTCCAACATCAACACCAACATCAACAGATAAGCCGATCCTTGATGATGATCATTACAGTTTTTCTGTTAGCAGGGCACAGCACTACCGACTAGACCCGAATCTCCAGCTTACACTAGTGTAGTGCTCATCATTCCCGCCGTTGCCCATCTCGCTCGCTCATGCAAGCCCGTCAATAGCTGAGCGTGTCCCTGATAGTGGTTTGGAGACACATAACGCAAAAAAAAAAAAAAAAAAGAAAAAAAAAAGAAAAAGAAGAAAGAAAAAAAAGTAAAATGAAATCACTAGGATCCTCGGCAGTGCATTAAAATCTTCAGTCATCGGCCTTTGGCCGTCAGATCCAAGGTGTTTACGGTGTTCATTCCCGGGCACCAGTTACCTACAAGCAACCCTCGTCTCACACATGTTATCAGCCATGAGAGGCGTTGTTGACGATTATCAGCCATGAGAGGCGTTGTTGACGACGCTATAGTCGACCTGTCACCGGGCTCTACACGGTTTAGTTCGGTTGAAGGACCTTTTTTCATGGGGTTCTTATTGCCTCGTGGAACCTGAGACATCACAAAACCCCCCAAGCTTCTGGGATTCCTGATATCAAAGTAAGAACCAAGATTTTTGATATTTCTCAAGGTCCGTTAACAAACTCCACACACCCTGGTAGGCTTCGAACGCAACCGAATTGGAGTGTGGGCCTTGCGGTTCTCGTGGAGTTCAGATCATCACGGAGCTCTGCTCCTGAGGAGCTGACACGTCTATCACAACGTCCTGATCACCCATCCTTACCAAGAACCGTCACCGTGGGTCACGATCAAGCACCTTGTTAGTTCATGTCTCGACGGCTTTGTAGTGTCTAAGAATCACGCCACTGCCAGAAAGTCTCCGCTTCTTTTTAGATAGGAGCAAAATGGACATTGGATGGCATAAATCTATCAACGAGCTAGTGATAAAGTAACGAACCCAAGCACAATCAATCAACCGTATCTCGCTTTTCTCCCTTCCGTACGCCGATCTCTTCTTGGTTTGATCATTTGCCCACCAACAACCGAGCATGCAAAGGCCTGGCCTTGTCCAGCTGGCTGGGATATCCTGGATGCGAATGGGAAGCTGGGAAGATCTGGGGGGGGGGGAAGCTAAAGCACTGGGCAAAGAGCACACAACTTTGTCAAAAGAAGCTTAGCAGCAGCTCATTTGGAGATCGCCAAATTGCGAGCTCAATCGGGTATGGTATGTATGATGGCACTGTCCTCAGCGGTTACCGCAACTAGTGCACTGATTCTCAACGGAGATGCTCTTTAGCCCGCTCTTAACTACTTATGCAGCATCTTGCCAAATGAATTGGCCCATACTCCTAACATGATTCACAAAGCATCAGTTCATGTATGTATGTAGTACAATAACGGTAGTGATTTGACATATCGTAACATGTCGAGCACAGAGCAGAAGCGAAGTTTGATTCTCGCTTCTCAGTGGTCACCACAAACGCGGGGACAAATCACACAAGGTTGAATTGCTTGGGTCGAAATCGAGGACCACTTCGAACAGAAAAACAAGATGCAAAGTTGATAAACCTTGCATTACCAGGCGTCCGTCTATGTATCTGTCGGTTGGTAATCGTCACAACGAACACCTGTTCATCTACTACCCGTCGTCACGTTGCCGTACCGTCTTCTTTTACTTCAACCATCTTTCCATTGGCTTCTGTCAGTTTTACCTCCTCGTCTCATCACTGCCTGCGCCTACCACCCCCACACCACCACACCACTGAGTGATTACCTCGTTGGCCGCCTGGCTCGCCGGGTGACACAAACCACCGACCAGGCGATGATCAGACCAAACGTCGCAAGTCAGAAGGGCAATTATCATTGGTGGCCTGACCCGATTCCCGTCACAGCCGCTTTCTGGCTTTTCTTGTGTCTTGGGGGGTTGAGCGCGCGTGCTCTGACAGGCTCTGACAACGCTTACCAACAACGCCTTCGCCCAGCATCGCTATCAACACATGTTTGACACATGTGAAGATAGGAAAATGAGTACACTAGAAAAAAAGGAAAGAAACGATCCAGGAGGTGTCTTCCAAAGGGTTCTTTCTTGGCAAGTTTGGTCTACACTAGGTAAGGTAAAGCTTCCGAGACTACCTATGGACTGTGTATGTAAGACGACGCGTGGAGCTGGGCTGTGTGAGGCCAAGTGCAACACCATACCTAGGTACACCTAGCCTTGACCTCCAGAGACAGCTGGGCAAATATCCCCAAACCAGGTTAAGAGGCAAGACATTTACCACCGAAACTTCCGAGCAAATCAAAGAGAGACTCGAAGAGAGACGTGCACCGGATAGGGCAGGGGTAGGTTCGGACTTTAAGTACCGACAAACACTCTCTTTTTTTTTTTTTCTTGGTTTGTTTCGGAGCTTTGCCCTGGCGGGAAAGAAAGGGTCAGTTGAATAGGTAGAGGAAGACTAACATCAATAAACTTTTCTCCCGCTTTGCCTGCCTGCCTGGGCTGTGGTGTCCGTGTCTCGGCTCAGTTCGGTTTCAGTCTTTTTTGTTAGGCACTGTTTCCGTTGTTGCAAAGTGTTGCACTTTAGAAGCAAGGGCCACGCGCCGGTCTGGATTGTTTTTTTTTTTTTTTGGTGATATTGGTTGCTGCCTGTCGTTGGCCCTTTTGCCCTCTCTAACAAATGTCTTGACAATATGCAAAGCTTCGATATCATGAAATCCAAAACATTCCGTCAATGTTAACTTTGTGTCGATGTCATGTTGCCATTCCAGTACCTTATCACGATGCTGTTAACCGTGTTGTACCTGACATTAGTTTGCTATGTTTCTTGCCTAATAGAGCGTACATACAGTAGTGCTGCAGTGCATGTATCCCAAGAGTAGTGTAGGTAGGATCGTGTAGTGTACATGTGTTTGTCGATGTATGTAGATACATATTTTACTGCGCGTGTTTATCAACAGTGGATTATGCAGCCAGGCGCACTCCGAGCCGCTCTCGAATTTACACAGTCAGTCCTTTCTCCATTTGCCTCCTTTTGTCGGGTTTCGTCTTACCTTTTCCAGCCTCATGCATATTTACCGATATTTAGGGACGAGTGAAGGGTGCAGTTTGGATATTAGCGACTTGCGACTCGGAGAAATCAAAGGCGGCCCTCGTAAGACAGAACAGTACGTTTGCCTTCCGGTCAACGCATGTTACAACTCTCACCATTAATTTGTTAAGGATACGTTCCTTTCCCTGTAAACCCGCTTTGAGAATCCGCAATAAGCAAAGCTGAAAAGGAAGAAGTCCCAAGACGAGATGCACCAAAGTGAGCAGTAACTTCAGATTTGCCGGTCTGATTGGTTCACAGACTTCACGAGTGTTGCCAAGAAAGGACTCGAGGTTCAGAAGGAGGGCTCAGAGGATGGGCTCAGAGTCAAGGGCTAGACTTTTTTTGGCGTAGCGCTCATTTCCTTTCGTGCTTTGATAAGATGGGAGGATGGTTGATATTGTCTTAGAGACCTGGTGTACGTACGGCTCGCAGTTGCTGTTCTGCTGGGCGCAGTACACAGTAGTACATAAGCGGGACACGGTGATGGACTTTGAGGGCGTGAAGGCCTTCTGGGCGTTGGTTGGCTGGTTGGTTGACGAGCGAGCTTCGGCAGGCAACTCAACAGCAACAACAACAACAACAACAACAACAACAACAACAACAAGGGGTAGATCCTCAAAGGCCAGGGGGAGGGGTGTAGCCATTGTCGACGATCAGCAACACAAAAACTGACAACTGAAAGCTACCTGTCGGAGATCTGGGCAAAATAAGCAAAGCCAGAAGAGCATAACACCGAAGAAAAAGGGAGGTTAAATGAACAGCAAGCTCTTTGATTTGTTAATGCCGGGCAGTTTCGGAGATTCCAGTTGCGCTTTCCCTCCCTTTTTTCCAGGCGCCCGTCCCCTTCTTCCCTGTGATCGAAAACCCACAGCATCGTAAACTCGGTTCGCCATTTTGCTTGTCTGGTACCAATTTCCTAGTGAGATCATTGACACCTGGCAGCCACTTTGTGTTGACGGGCGGAAGGAGCTATGTAGTACCTAGAGGTAGTCAGTAGCTTACTGCTAAAGAAAGCTCCCGCAGAGTCCCAAATTAACTCTGCCCCGTGTACACGTATTTTCTCACCACCAGCAGACTCCATTTCACGGGCGTTTCGGGTGCATGGGAAGCTGTTAGCTCGAAAGGGTTACTCATTTCGTACCGTCGGTAAGCCGCTAAGTACACTACTGCCCGTCCCCACGCAAGCACCCAAGCGGGCGACGATGCGAGAGGGGGAGCTCGCCCAGACTCCCGCCGTCTTCTAGCGGATAAAAAATTTCAAACAAGGGAGGTTTCTTTCCACTCGCAGCGTTGCTTCGCGTTGCTTTTTGTCCATCACCGCTTGTTTGACCTTTGAGATACCTGCATATCACCGCCCTTTTGATGTGGATTTCAGGTACTGCTCAGGTCGCTAGTTGCATGAGTTGACCTGACAAAGTGGATCCTTTTTACGCAGTAAGGCTTTACCGCACATTGTTTGTCTGGTTACCGCCAGTATGGAAGTGGAATTTTTCCCTCATTCACCGGGGGGTAATGAACCCAACGACGTCGACTTCGTCTTCGTGTCGGGCAGGTATGTACACAGTTGATGGTAAAACTGCACTACTGCAAAGGAAGTGAATGCCGTGATGGAGTTGGGTTGATGACGCGGATCCGGATGTCAAAGTCAGAAGGCTCCAAAAGTCAGATTTACCAGAGGATTGGTATCTATCTGGGATCGCTTGATACCGAGACTCCAGTGGGACTGTCCAGCTGTCAATCCTGTCGTTGTCAAATATGGTGCCAAAAAGACGCCATATGGCCGAAACCTGTGCGAGGGACCTAACTTGCAGGGTTAAGATCTTGGATTGCGGCTCCTATGAACGATGTGATACACAAGCGTGATGGTTTGACTAGTCACTGGGTGACTGGAAAGAAAGCCAAGATATTGCAACATGAGCGGGTTTCGATGAACAATGTCCGTCCCCGCCATATCTCGGTAGTCTGATCAGCCTGCCAGATCTCCATTGTCATCTGGTCCTGAGATTGCCATTTGTTCCAAGATATGAAAGTCCCGTTTTGGGCTGACTCGTTGATGACGTCCTTGGGCTATCGAGTTGGACGGCGTACACTAGTAGGTACTTGGTCTGAGACATGGACTATCGCGTAGCACTTCTACCACCCACACTCAATGTTCTACCTAGTGTACTGTGGTTGGGAGCAAAAGTTTAACCCCCATGTCAGGTATCTTGCACGGACCACTACAGAGAAAGCTTCGTGAGCACTGTGTGTTCATCGACATGACATGGGGGTTAAACTTACCCATCTCACCATAGTACAGTGGAGTGCTTGGGCTCACAGCCGAGCGTGAAGACGAGGTTTCTGTGGGTACACAGTAAAATGCCTTTGTTAAGGTACGTACCAAAACAGGTCGATGTCAGGGGATCACAACGACCCTTTCGTTCCCCCTGTGTCTTCTTCCCCAGAGCGACCCTAAAGAGACCCTAACTTCCAAGTTTCTTGTAATGCCCCCAGAGACTGCTGCCCAAGCGGACAGGTTCCAGAGAGAAGAAGGTCAGCTCCCCGGTACGGAGGCAAGGAGGAAAGCCGACGACAATCGGCCGTCCACTCTTTGTCCCTGCAAGGATTCCTTTTCCCCTATGCTTATCCCCGTGTCCATCCACCCGGTTGTAAAGCATGACCTTCATTATCTGGCATCCAGTCACATTCGTTCCCGCTCCACGACTTTATTCTGAAGTGTGCAATGCGGTGGTGGTGATCAGGGGAGCTCAGTCCAGAGAGGGTGGTACACAAAGAGAGAAATCAGATCGAACGCTGCAAGAGGAAAGGATCGATTGTATGGATCAGGGAGCAAACAACTTCTCAGGGCACTTTCCCAATAGTCTCATGAAAGATCTACCTCGGTGCTCAACGATCGGAACACGTCTAGTCAGCAATTGACCGTGTCAGAGCGGTCACGGTGTTTAGGTCCCCTCCCTTCAGTTCTTTGCTGCCAACCTCACCCGGTTCACGAAGGAAGGAGCCCACTAGTCACTGCTACTGTGCTCCACCTCCGCATTTCAACCTTGTGGGGCTCAACTTGTGGAGCCAATGCAAGCAAGCAAGCCAGGGCCAGGGCCGTTGCAGTGAGGGCCAGCTGCCAGGAACGATCAGCCGATTCGACGAACCATGTTCTCCCCCACCAGGGTTGCTACTTCCGCACGACCCTGAGATGCCCTGACCCCTCACACTCCGTCAACTTGGAAATTGTGATGGAAGATGGAAAACCTCGATCTCGAAACCCTTGGCCAAGTCCATCGTCCTCCTCATCCCCTAATCCCCACCAATTCCCACATCGAGAAAGCTGAATTGCTTCCAAACTCCCTACCGCACGGAGGGGTTGACCCCTTTTTCTCGTACAGTACTTTACCTATCTTGTACACTTTCTTGTTAGAGTATCTCACAGTGAATCTTCCTTTTGTGTGGTCTTGCAAGTGAGTGTACGTGCCATGTATGCAGCTTTACGTTTCTGCGTTCGGCAAACAACCCGAACCACCATTTCCCCCGTAACAAGAAAGGCGGAACGACAAGGAAAGAAAACAGTAGGAACCGACCGAAAAGGCGGAATGAAACATCAGACACGAGAAAATCGCTTGAGGAAGTGGATATGTAGGTAGTATACTGGCGGTGACAAGGTGTTTCCCCTTGTTTACTCCGCCCAACGGAACCACCAGCAGCAACTCCATCGTCCCATCGTGCAGTTCCCGTCTGGGGAAGAAGAACTGAAGAACGTTGGAATACAGGGGAAAAAGCAACCCTCCTTTCGTGTACACTACACTACCAGTTCTCCGCGAGTCCACCATTCTGAGCGTGGAGCAATGGACGACCCCTCTCGAAGAGGCCGATCCCAAAAGCCTCCGGGCTACTACAATACAGCGCCGGTGCTACAGGCACGACAGGGCACCGCACCCGTCCAGTACATAGTGTACCTACCGGAGAATTGCCATGAGGCCAGTTACCAATCCACTACACTACACACACCCCGCGCATCACGCAGTAAGAGCGTATAGTAGAAAGTGCAACATGGGAGAAGTGGATGGCTTGGGTGGATGGAACTGGAATGCGATGCAATCGCGATGCGAGCAGTTTGCCATCAATACTATGTACGCAATACACTACAGTGTGTACACAATCGTCGCCCGGGTCCTTCGGTGATCCATGTGAATGGTCAGCTCGATCAACCGTTCTGCTTCTGTCTATGGTTTGACCGGCCACGACAGCTTCCCAGCTGGCTTCCAGCTATCATAGACTCTCTGGGCTTCTGGAAGAGGTCAAATGTGAGAGAGAAAGGAAAGAAGGGCGGGTAAGTAAAGAGAGAGAGAAAGAGAGAGGCCCATTGATGGAAAAGGCAGAGAGAATATCTTCACCCCTCCCCTCCTCTCTCCTCGGATGTAAATCCCCTGCCTCCAGGGTTTCCTCCGTGTAGTGCGCTGTATCAGGAATCCCTCACTGTGTACGAAGCAAGTAATGAATGACGAAGGGGGTTTTCTTGCGTGCAGAGTTTGGAAGAGTCCAGTGACTAGTGTACATAGTATGAGAGTTGTTCGCTGCAGTGGTGCTGCGGATGGGATATTGGTGTGGGTGGCAATGGCAGGGGGCCTTTAGCACCGTCACGCAATGAATGGGCAAGAAGACAGTGTGGCAGACAAGCATGCGGCCATAGGGCGTTCGCTTGTAGGCTGCAAGGCAGGCAGCCAAATGCAAGTTCCAAACCATAGCCTTCTGCCTGCTTCGGACCTCCCTGAAAAGACAAAGATCCAATATCTGTCAACCCGTGGGTTCCTTCTTCGATGGTGTGGGACGATCAATGTTTTTGTCCTATGGTGGCTCGGTAGGATAACCGAACACGAACGAACAAGGATGAAGGACGAGCAAGTGCCTTAACGAACGACGACTAAGTCGATTGAAAAGACAGTGTTGCTCTCGTTCCGAGGCTACAAAAGTGAATGTTGCACGGGCACAGTCGTCTAGCTTTCCCCAATCTATCACGGCACCCAGATATCGGGCGAAGATAACTTCCTTCGACCAAGATTCTTGCTAGGCTTGTTTGCCTGACCTGTAAAACGGACACTCGGCTGCGCTTAAACCTGTTTTGTGAGTTGAAACATGAAATTACAGGGAAATAGTAATCTGAAAATAATGAAAAAAAAACAACAGGAAACCAGACATGAGTGGAAGAGAGGTTACACGCTAGGAACGTTAGGACTCGGGACCGATGGGATCAAGGGTGCCATGTGCTCTTTCAAGATAAAGTCACACAGATACAGGGCTAGAGTTCGTCCTGGGTGCCTTGTCTTTCTTCTCGCTTTTTACCATAACTGACTGTGTCAACCTGAGTTTTTACAGAGTGCTTATGCTACCGTGTAGCAGCATCAAACACTGCTCGAGGTTGAAACTGGCCGCCAGATGACCGGTGAGCGAAGCGGCTGACCGTGAGCGGCAAGAGAGATAACAGCGAGAGCAGCGCCGGACCGCCGGTATCCAACCAATATCACTGGTATGGAACCCTCCCGATAGTCGTCGGTCTTGCTCAGCATTACCAGAGGCGTGATCACAAAAGGGAGAATACTATAGATCTGCTGGACATATCTTGCTAGGCCTACCGTGTGTGTATCAGGAGATGACTGAAGCAAACAAACCTTCTCAGACATGGTAAGCACTGCCCAAACATGCGGGAACAGTGCCTCCTTCGGTGCTTGCCTCCGTAGACTAGTTGACCTAAAGGCGTGGAAGCCTTGTGATCCGGCGGCCGACAGACACCCAGTTACCAAGCCACCACCCCATGGCAAATATACTAGGCCGATTCGCTACCAACTGCTTGTTCAAGCCATCCCGTTCAAGTTTGCCTCTCGCCAGCTCATTTCGGCCGTGGGGATACCGACCGATGTTTGGGGATATCATGTCAATGGACATTGGGGCGAATGTTGGTGCTAGTGTCGACTTGACAAGCTTGTTCGGAAGTCAACACCCTTTTGGTAACCACTTGGCAACTGGTGGGAGCAAAACGACTGCCTGGAATGTGATGGCTAATGGATGAGTGAGCGGGTAATCCAGCAACCCGCAACCTTGGGCTTGGGTTTTGCCCTTCCCGCGCAGAGAGGAGGAGCAGACTTGGACGGGGCGGCTGTCGATTTGAACCTAATCTCACCTCTTAGCGTGTGTAAGAGCTAGAGGACACATGGTCAGCCAGTGTTGGTCATCATCTACCGCTGGTATCGCGTAGAATGATAAGAGCCTCAAAGCCATGTCCATACTTGTGTGGACAGGTCTCGGGACCACTCACCAGTAGGCCCTTTTCCCATGGTCAGTGCCCAAACTGAAGAAGGTCATGATGCCATCTCGCCATGATGGATGCTTGGCGTGCTGGGGAAGTCGGTTCGTCGGCAGCGTTATGTTATGCATCAATTATCGGAGAACCGTCAACGACCGGAGATTGCGGTTGTCTCTGGTTCTGGATCAAGCAAGGCACGAGAAAAAGGAAGGGCGACTCGTGTTGAGAGTCATGATGAGCATGGTTCGCATGGTTTGAGCAAGGAAAAAGAAAGAAAGAAGAATGAGAAGTGACCGAAAGCAAGCCAGTCAGCAAGCACACGGTGGGGTTTCACACGCTGTTTGAGCGGGAAGGCCCGTGGCAGCGTGGTTGCCTTTCACCGTGTTTTTTTGGGGTGGGGGGGTGCACTCTGCAGTCTCCACCACCCGACCCTCAGGGCTCCTTCCATCCCCCAAGCACCTCACCAACCCGAGACCCACCTCCTCAACGGTCGAGCATCCATATCAACAAGCAAGGGAGAGGAAGGCGTCAGACAAACGAATGGAAGCGAACTGCATGCGAAATCCCATTCTCGTCTCTTCTCAACCTACATCTGCCGAAACATGCAATGTCCACGACAACTGCCGGCTTACCTTGAGAGACAAAAAAGCAAGACCAGTACTAGGCAGAGCAAATCCGCGGCGATATGATGCTCGCTTGACGCTGTGTCACTCCTGCTGAGGCACTTTTACCGAGTACACACGTAGGAGCAACATGGGCCGTACGAGAACGAGCTTCAGTTTCCAGTCTAGAAGCATTCCCTCGCAAGCCACGTCTCAGCTATTTTCTGTCGCCTCCCTTCCTCCTCATCAGTTGTAGCCAACGGAATGTCAATCTCGTACACAGTAGCACTGCCAACTGTGGGAAGTCTTGCAAGGTTCACTCATACCGTAGCGTGTGACGATGATGATGATGGGTCATGAGAAACTCTTTCTTTTGTGCATTAACAGTTCCGGTATAGGGTGGGATGGAGAAATGTGAATGGAGGGCGATCCCGTCGTATTCAACTTCACAACATGCCATGTTTAGTAGGTAGTCTTATCTCTGGTAGGTAGCGGTTATCTCGGAAGCCCAAACCCCCTCCCTATATCGACTCTCCATGCTCACTCTATCTTAGGTCCTATATCAAGCTATCACTCTTCGATAGTTATCATCGAACTCGTCGTCTTCGTTGCTGCCATGGATGTCTATCGCCAGCTAGCATGGTCATGTGGACGCCGATGCAGCTAGCGCTAAAAGCACGCGCGTCACGGTTACATCGAAGGGTGGTGGTGATGTTGTCTAGGTGAACACCTGCGCAGCAAATGCCGAATTTCTCCTTCTTGGCCGTTGTCTCTCTTCACGAAGCTAACTTCAACAGTAATTAGCTTGTCCCAAGTTCTGCCCGTGAGGCATACCACTACTGTATGCACGGCTTTCCCGAAAGGGTTTGCGATGCTTTACCAGTCTGGCCATCCCGTGCACCTACCCGTCACTAGAGAAATCCTCCATGTACATACTTGACGGCAGCGTTCTATCAAGCTGCCCTTCCAGCCGTTCGGTGCCCTTTGCTGTCTTGGGCATTTCGAACTGGCTTGGCGTACGGGTCTCGACGCTCGGCTGGCTGCGGGTGTTGACCTCGATCCGGTCGGGCTGGTGCCTCAGAGACACAGAAGAGGAGCTGCAGTTTGCCGCCGACCTTGAGGAGAGACAATAATGGGCAGATAATGACGCCCTCGTTGCTTTTTCCCCTACACATTCCTCCTGTGTATGAAAACTCTTTAGCATTTCCACGCGACGCCAAGGCAGACGGCCATCACCTCACGGTTTCACTCTGTGAGACATACAGACGATTATCATGCAGCATAGCCGGGCCCGTGTATGCCGCTCTCTCCCGAGCCTGTCGCTTTGTCCCGTCGTATACGGGACCGCAGTGATCATCAGCACCTCCGTGGACACCCACTGGGCGCATGTTTGAAAGTCACAAATGTGTATACAAGTACGGAGTTGTGCGTGTGTGCGTGTGCGGAAAGGATTGTCTCCAAATGGATGGGGGGATGGCGTGCATGTTCTACGCTACCTTGACTCCTCCTTCCTTCCTCTGTCTCTCACCAGCGGGATCAACATTTGAGCCACCAAAAAGCTGCGATCACCCGAGGGCGCATATCTGCCATCTGTCCAGAGCAAGTGTAACTGTTATCGAATATAGCCCCGAAACTGTGCACAAGTGTGTGGTGTGTGATGTAGGTGGGTAACATTCATTGCTCAACTATCGGACGCCGGCTCTGGAGGCTGGCTCACAGATACACACCCTTTCAGGCGGACCATGACATCAGGAAAAAGGGACCCAAGCTAGTCCTTGAACTCCCTACTATTGTTGATTGCACCCCTCTTCATTGGCATATTGACTCCAAGTGTGGGGAGGGCTTATCACATCAACCGTTTCAGAAACGAGGTAGTGGTCTCGATTCACCCACTGCGGATTGCCACTGATATTCGGCGTACACAAAACTATGCCCTCCAGCAGCCGGAACCTTTCTTCACGATAGTTGTAGGGCCCTGCTTTACCATGCCGTGGAACGATTGTGAGTGAGCCAATCTAAATGTTTACAGTTGCAGGAAAGGCGATCCATATTACCATTGTGTACCAGGTGATTATGTTTGGTGCCGGATTTCCTTTCTTCTCTTTAACTCATCAGAAGGTCTCCATGGGGACAACCTCTTGTTAGCTGCTACTCTTGCTGGAGCGGAATCTTTGCTATGGCTATCGAGTTTATAACCTTGATACCAAATTAAAGGCTAGATTGTGACTTGATTCACAGTGGCGAAAACCAAGTTCATTAGAAGCTATCCTATCGTCACAATAAAAATGCCATCGTCAATGGCGGATGTACACAGTGATGAGACACCGACTACTACCGGCACACAACGCTCTCAATGCTCTTCTTATTCCTTTCTGATAGGCGTTATGTGTCATGCGAGTCAGTGGTGTAGCCCCTTTCATGAAACTATGAGATTGCGAATCCCTCCTTGCAGGAACCTGGACCCTTATATTATCCCTAATACCATTGCACCTGCAGTAGCTCGATGTCATTCCCTGCTCTGTGTGCTACCTTTTACATCTTCTGGGGTCTCCGGTTTTCCATCTTGCACCAGCTGATGTCGCAAGGCTCAGCTTACATCAGGGGGTATGCCTGGTCACGACGTCGAAGGGTTGGGAACGTCAGGTGAAAGAGCGTATAGGTGGATGACTGTTTTGCCGGATGATAGATGGTTGCTTTCTCCGGACCATTGTTTTCTAGAGCGCAAGGCTGGATGAGGCTCCTACTCGGTCGTGTGGTCAGTGAGAATGATGAATCACTCATACCTAGATCAGTCTGGTATGAACCGCGAAAGATGAACTGGGTTCGGTCTAAGCAAGCATTGGAGAAAAGTTGAGATGCTAAATCTCGTTCAACTGACCAGACATACTCCCCTATTTCTGGACGACATGAGCAAGCAACGGTCCGGATCTACTGACACAACATCAAATTGTTTACGAAATTCCGGGTATATGTTTATAAGACAATCGCATACTCAAACTCGAACCAAACTTCCTGCTTTCTGAGCCTCTGCTATATCATTTTGTTTACCAGGCCCCAGGCGAGGCTATCAGGGCGTCATAGGCAAGCAGGTATGTATCACTTCAATGAAACACCATAAACAAGCCACCTTGGTAACACAATCAATACCGAGAATTGGATGATTGGGGGTTACTATAACAAGAAGTGCTGAATGCTCATGATGTAGTGCAGAAACCTTGCGATACGTCACTCTCGCCGAAATACATCATATCTCACTTTAATCCGAAATCGAGTGGACAATATGACTTGATTTTCGGTGGTAAACGAGGACATGGGCAGCTACATACATGACATCGTTAATTTCCTCATCCTTACGAATTCGCCTTCGATAAAGGTCAAGTGACCCGCCTACTATGTAAAAGCACACGTTGTGAAAAGGGGAAAGACCGAACTGAGAGTCACGACCTTACCGTTACGGCTTCCTACATCTCTATCTTCTTATCCAGCCAGTACAGCAAGAACAACATACCGGGCAGGGTTCGGATCAGGGGGCGAGCAGATGCGGCTCTTTTCGTTTCGAGTGTCAAGCGCATGTTGAGTATATTATTCGAGCGGCTATCCGCGTCTCTTGCCGCCAGTCCATTGCCGAGGCGCCGCCATACTATGTCGCTATGCATGTGGAAGCGAAGTTGCCTCACTCTTGATCTCCTCTCGTGTGTAGGTAGGTGATCATGAGATCACAGAGCTGGGGTTGTTGCCGTCGGTATCTGAGCTACTTGAATGAGGAGCATGGAGCTATTACTATGTAACTTGAGGGATAATGAACGCAGAATCACGAAACGCCTAGAAATACTGCAAGATGAGCTGTGATGCATTGCACGCGTCAATTTGCACACTAGAAAACGAGGAGGCTTATTCGCGCTGCGGCTGCATATGCCACAGGAGGTTGGAAGCTATTACATGGGAAAGAGGGAGTGTCCAAAGTAAACTGATGATGACCACGAAAAGTGGAACGAGGGAGAAAAATAGCAACGGTGAAAGACAAAAAAAAAAAAAAAAAAAAAAAAAAAAAAAAAAAAAAAAAAAAAAAAAGAAAGAAAAGATCCATCAAGATGGAAAATGTCAGCATATCGGGTCCGAGATGAGTGAACAATGAGCAAAACCATCTGACTCCTTCAAAGCCCACAACCGTTGTAGCCGTCAACATCAGGAAATCATCACCAAAAAGTTCACATACGATATTGTTTGCTCCATTCATTCCTTTTCCAAAGACCTATCAAGCACAAGAACAACACAAGTCTCGGCTACTACGACAAAAAGAAAAAAAAGGTTACACGGGTGACATAACAATAGCCTCGGAACCGAGCAATTGTGTCTGGTCCGGATATTTATACCTATTTTTCCTTTTCAAGTTTTGCCTCCTGCCTCCCTTATTCGTTTGTTTCTCTCAGCTTCAATCCACTCGATGCAACTGGGTTGGTTCACACTGAAGCCACATAGAAAAAAAAAAAAAGGAAAAATGGAGAGAAAGAAGGCGAGAGAGGGGGGGTTTAGAAATGAGGCAGGAGCGGAATAAGTTTGTTTTGTCACTTTTTATGACGCCGGCGCAGGGCACTGCAGCAATATCTGACCGTGAAATTGCAACGCGGGCCGCGAGTAGGGAAAGAGGAAAAGGAAAGCGAGAAACAAAACCTCGAGAATCAAAGCCTCGGTCCCTTAAGATCTAGACTATACATCACTGCAAAATGTATGTCTACTTCATCAGGTAGACACATTGCAGTGGGCCAGAACTCAAATAACATCATTCCTTGCTGGTTACACGACCTCAACTTGCTCCGCATCGTTCTCGTTATCTCTTACTGTGTAGGTACATATGAGTAGCCGTCCTACCAATAGGTCTCCCAGCAACAGCAGCATCAGTAATATCCACTAATTACATCGTCCTACATGAGCTATCATGTCGTCTCGCGTGTTCCGTGGGGCGTTATAAACGTCATGAGGTTCAATTAACTCTTAGGTCCGAAGTCGGTGGTCGGGGGTTCGGATTCTTTTCTTCGGGGAGGGATTGCTGATCTCTTCGGGATTTGTTTTGTATGGGGTATGTGAAGCAAGTGTGATGAGCTGTGTACAGTCAAGGCTTGACGGCGGGAGGCTCTAAATCACTGGAGCGCGAAAAATCTCCAACTCTCCCCTCATGATTTTCAATCAACAGAAACAACAAACAGTCAACGCGAACACGCACCCCTTCCTCACTCGGCAGTAAAGAATAGACTTGGCAAGTGAGACTCCATCTCAGAGCGCATAATATGAGTCTCGAGTATACGTAGAAAACCGTTCCAAAGCATGGTGATAATAAACCTTTGTAACCCCAGACATAAGTATGCAATTGAGCACTTCGGGAATGATTACAAGAAGACACTATGCAATAGCGATCTTGTATACACGATGACTCTGCTAGCGAGATTTTCCTTGGTTTCAAACACCTTGAGGTATCTCGGTAAACCACTAGAGCGAATGTCTACTGCTTGGAGCTACCAGAGAGACCAGATACGTACAACCACCAGGTGGACAGTTCTTCAATAAACAATCCGCCCCCCGTGTCTCGCCGTCTATTATCCGCTCTGGTGAGTATCGTAGGTAATGACGAAGGCTTCGCCTGGTATACTTGCTCAACCGTGGTTAAGTCAACGCAAGAAACCCACCAAAGACTTCTACGGACTTGCACCAAGCTGAACTCATGCCTACACCAAACTACCATAGGTACCTAAACACCTGACAACGGATTACCACACTATTCCCATCTACTCTAGAACCTTAAACTACGAAGCTCGATATGTTAGTTAGTTAGACTCGAACCGGTTTCGCATGTTGTCACTCATTTGCGTATTACAAACAAGCAAAATCTATCAAGTGACCAAAGCACAGTAAGTGCCAAGACGAACATGTCCTGCCAACTTATACAATACTGCGATCTTGAGCAATTTTTTCCACGGACAGAATATAAGCACCTTTACCAATAAAAATAAACACATACGACCATAGATGGTAGAAAACTCGGGATCCCGTCCGCTCTCCCATAGATAAGCTACCAATCGCCTGACTAGTAGTTGGGTCGGTGACGACCAGCGAATCCCAGGTGTTGTATGTTTTTTCTTTCTTTCTTTTTTTTTTTTTTTTTTTTTTTTCTTGGCTCGTTCCTTCTCTTTTTTGTATCAAGAATCTCACTTTGGCAGTCATTCTCTTTTTCATTGTTGATTCTGGCTCTTGTTCTGTTTGTTATATTCGTGGTTGCATGCACGTGTTACTTGCTAGGGAAGAAATTCGCCATAATGAAGTAGCGATATGATGCTGCTGGTTGCTGGAAACGAGGAATGCAGTCCCCATTGAGACAATCACCGAGATAGAAGCTCACGGTGAGCACATCGTGGACGTGTAACGAGTAAACACGATAGTCGTGATACTATTTGAACATTGCTATGAACCCTTTCCCATTCTCCTCCGAGGCGAAAACGCCTGTCCACCAATTCCAAAAAAGGAAAAAAAAAAAAAAAAAAAAAAACGAGGATTTGCCTATCCGATATCCATCTAACCTCCTTGTTCTTAACCATTACTCATAACGTAAGTACCTAACATGAGCAAGCCCATCCTGCACTATACACCACACAGTTTTATGCCTTGTAATTTCGGTCATAATGATACTTGTAAGCCGCAGATAGAAGACTCGCCTTCAGCATTCTACACATATCGTCAACCCCCAAGTCATAGCCTGGCCTTCGTACCTTTACCAGACCTTCCCATCTCTTCACGACGTATACCCAAGCCCTCACTTAACTCTATCCGATCCCACCAAAACCGGCAAGCCTTCAGCAAGATCTCATTGAGAACCTCCTCCTTGGCCGGCGTACCAGGGCTACTACCACCTGCCCGCTCGTTGTTCCCTTCTCCAAAGACAATCATCCTGCCCGTCCCCTCTGGCGGCTTTACATCGTCATCACCACTGCTGCTCTGTTTCCACAATGATGATGATGATGACCACCCCCTTTCTGTATTTCTCTCCGCAGTCTTGTGCCCAGCGCCGCCGCGGTCTAGTCCCGAATCACCATCCCCAAAAGGCGTCTTAAACAACGGCCACACCACCCTCTTCCCACTACCCTTCTTCCCGTCCGTCTCAACCTCAATAACATTCTCCCCGCTAATAAACCTTCCCCAAGCAGCATTCATCCCATCTGCCACCTTTCTCAACCCCTTGCTCCGTCGCGGTGGTCCAAATGACCTCAAAAAATCCATATCATGCGTCACCACAGGTGCCTCATCCGCGTGATTCGCCACGTCCCAGTTTCCCCTAGCCGCGAACCTATAGACATGAACCGGCAATCCCGCCTGGCTCATAAAGTGCGCTGTCTGCAGCACTGGACAAATGTAGGCGTAGTGGCTGTAAGCGGCGTCGAGACGGGCCCACTGAGCTCCCATGCCGGCGGGGACGGAGCGGTACGGGTTGCTGCTGCTGTAGGGGTTTGTCACGGGGTCCGGGTAAAGGTGCTCGAGGGCGGCGAGGTCGGCGTCAGTGAGGGTAGGGATGAGGGTTTTGAAGAAGGAGCGGAAGTCGTCGTTTGTGTTGGCTTGCCTGGGGATGAACGTGGCGCCTTCGTTTGTGTTGAAGCCGGTTAAGACGGGGATGCGGAGGTGCTTGCCTTGGCGCCAGGAGGTGATGGGGAGGTCGGGGATTAGGACGGGGGTGGTCTCGCTCTTGCTGTTGCTGATGGCTTGTTGTTGGTCGTGAAGCCCGTCGATGACGGGTTGGAAGGGCCACGTGACGCTGGGTTCGTAGCGGTCCCATACTTTCTTGGAGGCTCTGACTATGGTTTCGAGCGGAAGCTTGCGAAGACGATCAAAGATCTGATCATCCGGCAATTCGTCCACGCCTGCAGCGGCGAGGAATTCTCGAAATTGGACCAGGTGACGAGGGTGGTTCGGGAGGAGGACGGCTCTAGCAGTAGTAGCGCCGGACTCCAGGATGGCTCTGTGAAAGGGTGCCGGACTCTCCTTTCGGGCGTAGTACATGATATGGTGCCCGATCTAAGAAAAAAAAGAACAAAAAAATAAGTGAATATTGGGTCAGCGAAGTTATATGTGGTGTGTATGAAGACATATTGGAATACGATATCAAAGACATGAAAGGGCTGAAGACAAAACCTACCGAATGCGCACCAGCGCTGAGTCCCATGATAGTGACATTATCTGGATCACCCCCAAAGGCCTTTACATTTTCCCTCACCCATTCCAACAACATAGTCTGATCCCTTAACCCCAGATTTAGCAACCCTTCCTTGGCCGTCAATGCTGATGGGAGAAACCCCAAGGCACCGACACGATAATTGAAATTAATGCCTATCATAGGTGCATCGGCCCAAGAAACGAAGCTCGCCATGTTGCGTTCAGGGCCCATACCTCCGTTGAAGGCACCTCCATGGATGTAGACAACCACGGGCAGCAACGCTGGGCGCTTGTTGCTGTCCCCTATTTTTAGTCCATCGTCATCAACCAGACCAGCCGGCCTGTAGATATTGGCATTCAAGCAGTTTTCTCCAAATCCGTTGCCTACCGTCCCTCCTATAGGACATTTCTCGCCGAACTTGACAGCCTGGAACGTCTGATCGGAGTCCGGTAGTACCTTGGGTGGCCGGAAGCGGTTCTCCCCTCCGGTGGTCTGAGCAAAGGGAACGCCGCGAAAGGCCTCAATAGCCTTGGGGAAGCGGTAGTCGACAGACAAGTGGACGCCAATGTACCGGCCTTGGCGCAAGGTGACTGTAGGTGATGTGGCTGTGGCGCCGGGCTGCCTTTCGTTGGTCATGGTCATGGTTGCGGTCATCAAGGTGGTGGATGGGTAAAACGACGTGTCCTTGGTGTCTGCAGTCTGAGATGTCGGAGTTGGGACCGAAGGAGAAGATGCGGACGAAAGACCTAGCTCGAGATCCGGGTCGACATATGAAACTACTGCTTCTGTGCTATCACTACTGTTTGCCTTGCCGTTATCATTCGAGTCGCCGTAGTTGCCGTGTTGGGTGGTACTACTCGGGGTGCCCTTTTCCTTGGAGGGAACGCCTACGTCCGAGGGAGCAAACGAGGGGATAAGGCCGTTGGCGTTGTATCGGTAGTTGTATAGGCAGACGCACAGGAAGCCAATGACGAAGACCCAGGCTGAACAGAACATGATCTTTTTGGACAAGCTCTTTATTAGCCCGGGCGGTCGTCGTACATACCGGGGCTTCTCATCCTGGAGGAGGGGAAGATGTGGAGGCGGCGGCGGGCTCAGGGACGTTGGAGTCGAGCTCCCACTGCTCGAGGTGTCACCACTAGCTCGGGCTGTGGATGATGCTACGAGCGGGGTGCTATGGGTAGTACTGGGACTGCCCCATCCGGGGATCAACGTTGGCCGTTGGGGTTCCCCATTTTCCACTGAATTGACGCTGACAGCGGCGTCTGAATCCAGGGTCTGGTGATCGACACGGGATATGGTGCCGAGACGGACCCCGTCATGCACAGGCCTTCGCAACGGGCTTGGCATCGCGACTCTTCTCGCGAAACAAAAGGCTTTTTTCGACGTTGGTGCTTGTTCTCTTCGCCGGTCCTCGTAGTCCAAAGCGCGCTATACTTGTCGGCTACCTATTTTCCATGTTGCTGATGCTGCTCAGCTGCTCGTTGGTACCTGTACCTGTGGTCGGGGTGCTGGTAGAGGTGGCGCGAAAGTGACCGAGAAGGGGACTCAAAGATCGGTTTTGAACCCCCAATGGCTTTGGCTTCAAGCCTTTGAAGATACTGCGTGACTGGAGGGCGGATCGTTTGAAAATATTTCTAGTCAATGAACTGCAAGATCATATGTTGGAACTGAAATTTGAACAGGTTGTTGTGCGCGTGGGGCGTCGAACGTCGAATGCACGGGCTGCTTCTAAGGCAAGGTAATGTAGCCGTATACATAATGCGAACCGACACAACTGAAACCAAGGGAATGCCGCAACTGAGCGATAAGACTCGATCGAAAGGGAGAAACTGAAGGGAGAGACGTTGTTGGCAGTCGGTGAGGTTGGTGATTCAGCTGAGCGACTGCCTATCGAGCTAACTTGACAGTCAGTCGCTGCTGCGTCCAGGTCCTTTTCATACCAAGTTGGTAGGTGCATTCGACTGCGAAACCTCAATCTGTCCTGCAGAGGAAGGAGCAGAATAGCGAGTTCTCACATGCTCCTTCCCTTTGCGCGATCGGGGCGTATCACAAACTCGACAACCTATGTAACAAGCCCAAATCTCGAGTCTTGAGTAGGAAGGTATGCGAGACAGATCAAAGTGGGGGCAATGTACTCATGGCACCCGCTTTGTCGCCGTCGTCGTCGTCTTGACTCTGGATTCACTGCCACACCCTTCTCACATGTTAAAAGCGTCCTGTCAAGATCTTTGTTGATTGTTCTGCCATCTCCATCTATTCTATCTAACATCCAGCGTCGTCTCCTACCATGACCACGTTGGCTAAGCTGAATTGATAAAAAGAAAAAAACAAGAATAACCCCGCCAAAACGCGCTCAGAATACTAAGCGGCGAGCTAACAGATAAGTTCGTGTGACAAACAGTTGCCACGGCGTACGAGAAGAACCTAACGGCCCTAAAACCGAAAGACCTGTTGCCTCGTCCAATAGCCCAGTTGGCCAATCGGTTGGTGAGTAGTCCATTTAACCGTACTGTAAGTGATCGAGGGTATTTCCGGGGCACCTCAGTGTATAAAGGTCATCAAAAACAACCTGGGGCCCTCAAGAGATGGTGATGTCTGTCACGATGGTGCTCCGAAAGCTATGAAATGAGGAAGCAAGTTGAAAAATCAGAAAGCCAGCACGATAAGACCGTAAACCGCGAGTAAGAGAAAAAAGTAAAAGATAAAAAAAAAGTTCACACTGCGATGCAACCACCCCATGAAAATGCTCACACAAACCTTGAACTCCAAGCCGGAAAAAGAGAGAATCATGCAAGACCGAAATGAAAACAAAGCCGAAGCCTGAGCCACAACTCCGCGCCAACTCAAACATTTCGCCCACTTGCGTCGAAACGCCGAATCCATCGTGCAAACCCTACCTCTTCAGGATGTGAAGCGAAACCTCATCGGTTGAGAGCCCCCGACCATGCTGTCCCGTTTCTTCTTTCCACCAAGAGTAGCGGCTTTCTGTGCATGCTTCTCTGCCCACTCGCGGCTCTGCATCCTAGACCTATCAGCCGCCTCCTTTCGAGCTCTCTTCGCCGCCTCCTCTCTTTCGTGCCGCTCTCTCTCACGTTCCGCCGTATAGCCGTTGTCGCGTGCAAATACCTCCTTACCCCGTTGCCTCTGCTTCTGCGCCTCCTCCGCACTCACTGTGCTACGCCTGCTAACCGTGCTACTGCCCGTGACGCCACTGCGGTTGCTACCTGCCGACGCCCTCGAGATGCCACGACCGGCATTGGCTGCCGACAGCGAGTCAATCATGCTCAAGCGGCCGCGCGCCGGAAGAGTTGCCGCATTGTACGACTGTCGCTTGGTCGACGCGGCCGATCTGCCCACAGTAGCATTCCGCTTGTTCGCAGAAGAAGCTGTCGGTGACGCAAAAGAAGCTGTAGCGGGTGCCTTTGATAGAGGAGAACGGGGCTCTACACAACCGCTAGCATGGCTGCCATCAAACGTACGAGCGACACTTGGTCTCCCTTGTCGCGCCCGACTAACGACCGTCTCGCGAGGATTCGTAGCTCTCGAGACGCTAGCACGGACCGAGCGAGCCTTGGACCCGCGGCCCTTACCGTCCTCTTCCTCAGCTCGCTGTTTGGCCTCCGACTCCTCTCTCCTGCGACGTGAGATTGCCTGACCGGGTAGCTCAGAAGCGGCTCGCGTGGACGTTCTGGTGGACCTGACACGAACTTTGGGAGGTGAGGCGGTCCAGGAATCATCCATAGACGGGGCATTTTCGGAAATATATCCTTGTGAAAGACGAGATGCACGCTCTTCCTTGAGGCGGCGGGCCACAGGTTCTCCGGGTAGCTCGAACGAGGCCACAGTGGGTGCTTTGTTAGACCTGGCCGGAGGCCTAGGTGGCCGAAGGCTGGTTGGTCTGGTTGCTGTACCTTTCTTCTCAGCAGCCGCTTTATTATCGGCAAAGCTCATCGAGCTTGACTTCCGCAACGATGAAGAGCGATCGACATCTTTCGGGCGGACCGTGGTAGGTCCAGTTCTCTTGGAGCTTGTGCGCTGAGGTGGGACGGCCTTGGGTGTTCTCTGGACGCTCTGCATCGAGGGTATTCTTGCGTCTACAGGAGACAAGATTCGGTCGACTCGCGCCAAGTCATCGACAGCTTCCAATTCATCCTCGAGCTTGTCGAGAGCTTCCACCGAGTCTTCAATCCTGGACGCAGGACTCGAAATGGGTGGAAATAGTCTCGTTGGTTCCATGTGTTCGTCTTCCATGGCCTCCGAGAGGCGGTGACGATATTTGTGATAATATTCGGTCTCCCACCTCATTTGAGACTCTTGTTGACAAGAATCCACGGTTTCCGAGGAATGATGGTGGTATCGGTGACATGAATCAGTCTCCCACATCCGGGACTCGTTTTGGATGTGGCGGTCATTTTCTGCATGTGAATCTGATGCTCGAGCTTCATCTCTCTCTTCTTCATACTGATATTCGCCGATCAGAAGACAATCTGACTCGAAGCTCACCTGAGGCTCATGTCGATGGTCCACGTCAACCTCTCCGTGAAAATCGCGCATTTCATCGTACGTATGGTAAGGGCTGGTCTCTTCAGCCATGCTGGAGATGGAATCCGCGTCCATTTGGACGATAGTAGTTTCAAAGTTGCCAGCCCTTTCATCCATCATGCTCTCCGTCTCCTCATCAATTGTCTCGCGGGTAATGTGGGAGCGCCTCATCTGAACACGGGATTCGTCGGGATGGATTGTGATGTTCGTCGGAACAGTATTATTCACGACAACGTCGCTATGCTCGACGCCGTCGAGCTTAGTAGCTACAACCGTATATATATCAGCACTTTGATCTCCGTTGTCGGTGCCTAACTTGGCATCCGGCATTGACTTTGAACGCCGTGGGACGAGGTTGCAGCCAAAGTAAAGCAGCTCTTTTGGGTTTTCGGATCCTTGGTAGCCACAGCGCTCAGGGTGTTCATGAGAACAGATTGGGTGAGCACATTCTCCGGATCCCCTATAGCCACAAATCTCTGGGTTATCGTGAGAGCAGACTGGATGAGCGCATCCTTCGGGCAGGGTCTTTGCCGGCAATGACAGAACCCACTCGAAGTGACCTGCGTAATGTTTGGCCAACTGCTCTGCGTTGCTGGTGAGTTTTTGACTTTCCAGGGCAAGGTGATTTGTTTCCCCAAATTCTGAGAGACTCGTCAAACTCAAGTTAGTTTGTCTTCATTGCACAAAGGTAGCTTGATTCCCAGATACTAGTAGAGAGAGCCACATACCTTTTGAGAAAAATGTGGAGATAGTTGCACCGGCCTCAGAACTGTCTCCTTCGCCTAGTTTCTTGCGCACTTGACCAGCAGTCTCGTTTCCAAGTTCAGACCCGTCAGCTTGGTATCTTGCAGTAACTCTGGCCCTGACATTTGCCTTCTTGGGGCTACCCAAGTAGTTGTTTAGGGTACTGATTGTTTGAGTCTTGTCTGGCTTCCTGCTATGATCGTTGTCGGTGTCTGAATTGGGATCCAAGACATAAAACTGATTGTTGTCGAGTCTGTGAGGGGTGCAGCTGGAGTGTAGTCCATGGTCGTGGATATCGAAGCCGATTCCATGTCGGTGGTGGTAGGTGCTGGCGGTCGCCATGATTGTAATTAATTCTTCGTTCTAATATCGGCTTTTCCCGAAATAGCCAAGATCTGGAGGCCAGACGATTGCGTTGCTGACTGGCCTGAACAAGGATTCCAGAGTAATTTCGCTCAAAGGGAAAAAGACAAGATTATCTCTGTGCAGACGCGGGGTGGCTCGTTATCCAGAAAGGTGAGATTGTGATGGGCTAGATCCGGGGAAGGCTGATCGAAAACTTGTTGGTTATTGATTGAACAATTATGTTGGTGTAGCAGTTGGGCACTGGAGTCTTTGGCTGACGACGGAAGTGATTCAACTGAAGTGGTCGAGAAAACTGTGTTGGAGTCCTAAAGGCAGTTGGCTTTTGTGCTTCATCCAGAACGTCATGCGTCTTAGTACTGGCGGCGGGCGCTCTTCCTTTTTTCTTGAAATGGCAGTCAAGGTCGTGCCCACAACTCCTTCCCATCTTCACCATGATGCTTGAGGGCCATTCCACTTCGTTCTCGGTGCCTTTGCTGGACTTGTAGCTGCAAATGTTCGTGGTCTCATGGTGCGGTTGTCTGATGTCTTGAAGCGGCGACTTCCTCGAACAACCCCCTGGTTGACTTCGACCAAAACCGACTTCTTTATCAGCGACCAAGTAGAAAAAGCCCACCCCTAGTTGCTTAAACCTTTCTTCCTGTTCGTACTCGGAAGGTACAGACTGAGGCTGGCAGCACCGATAAGAAAAAAACAGGGCAGTCCACATAGCATCTGACTCTAACATGAAGCTTTCTGACCTGATTTTGTTTCCTTTAGAGCGCCTTGGTGCGGTAGTAGCATTGATCCTTCAAAAAAGATTACTTCTGACTTGAATCCTCAGCCAATCCCAAGAAGGACTGGCTGAATGGTGTAGCCTGGCTGACCGAGGTGACCTGGAAGACAGACACTTCCTCCGGTTTACTCTTCTTCTGCAGCTCCCTCTGCATGTGCTTGAAGTGCAGGCGCATGTTCGGTTGGGATGCGAACAAGAGTCTGGGGAAGATCTCCCTCTGAGGGCTCCTGGACACCTGCACTTGGCTTGGGCAATTTGGCTGAGGCAGGCATGTTAATAAGGACCGTCCGGAAGGGATGCTACCAGTATGGCGTGAATGATGCTTACCAGATGCCATGTTGATAGCTCTCAGCACATTATGCCAATTGCTAAGAACAAGGGCAATGGCTTCTGTTCCATCGGAAAGAGTAGCCAGCTTTTGTGCGAGTGCCTCCATCTGCGTTGCCATTGCCGCACTGAGATCGCGCAGCTCCTTGAGATTCTCCAGCTCGGCCTTCTTCTCGTTGACTCTGGCAACCAGGGCGGGAGACTGGCCCGTGGTGCTTGCGCCCATGGACGAAAAGCCTCTGGCAGGAAATGCGGACATTGTGGCTGCAGTCACGGCGTTGGTGATGGGGAAGAAGAAAAGGATGGGAGTTTATGGAGATCTACATGTGTGTTCAGGAAATGGTAGTCAAGAGCCGTTGGTCGAATCTAAGTGGTGGAAGTCCTTGACAAGACGGACGGGAAGATGGGAGGAAAGAGCGTGCTGTTCCTTGTTGTGATTGCTTGCTGCTGGGTGATGCTGTTAGTGGCCGCCGGTAGTATAGAGGTTCTGAGGTACTGCTTATAGGACCTCATGCTTGTTTTCATGGGCGGCAGGCAACACCGCAGGTCGGAGTCTGGACGGTGAAAGCTTCCAGTGGGCCGCGTCCCCGCCCCGCTTCAGTTCAGAACTGAAACTCGTTGCTGGTCAACCCTGGACCTTGGCCAACTGCAAGAGAACCGCGACGCTAAACCGGTTTGGGAACCAGAGTAAACAAAAATGTTCGCGAAATGACACCTGGGAATTTCAGTTGTCCACCTCCGCTCCCACCCACCCAATCCATCGCACTGTTGCACGGTGCACCTGCCCAGCCTCTTCCTTCCCCAACGTATCGAACGCATTCCAAACAACAACCTGAATCAAACAGCTTCACATCCACGACGATCTGTATTGTATGTCTATGCTAGCGATCTGGTCGAACTAATAACAACCCTTTTTGGCTGTCTTGTCCGCGAGGACGACAATGCGAAATGGCCCGCCTCAACGAACAAGCCATGTCGTCTGTCTCGTTGTCAACAGACAATCTCGAGCTCTGTATGTGTCGCGACTCTGTCTCCCTCATCGCGCCAATGCGACAACACAGCTAACCTCATCGCGTCTTGACAGTGCGTAGGAAGTTCCTCAGACAAAACAGAGATATTGCTCGAGTCAATTCCACACAGTCACTCCGTATCCGTGGGTTGGAGAATGAATGCGCTCGTCTGCTGTCGGAAAACCTCGAACTCCGTGGTCAGGTCTTACGCCTCGAAAAGGAGCTCCAAGACAACGCTGCGCGAAGGGTGGCCGATCATGCGCTTGAGGTCAAGGCCAAGATGGAGACGCAGTTGGCGGAACTCAGTTCGCTGCTGGCAAGCTTAGGGGAGCCGCCCTCGAAGCGGCGCCTTTCGGAAGAAAGGCGATACGCGCAGCCTCGACCGAGCGTTCACCGAAGCCCTCCCTTACGAAGAGCACGCCAGGAGGCCGACCAGGAACTACTGGCTGAGCAGGAAGGAAGGCTACCGCCGATATACGAGAACAAGGCGTATGCGCGAGCCACAATGAAGTAGGTTGCTTGAAGTCCCCGGTGCATGATACACTGAGGTATATGGCTGACACCCAAGCAGCAGTGAAGAAATCCTAGCGCTGTGCATGCAGGCAGATGATTCGAATGACTCGCCAGACATCGGACCGCCGCCAGTATCTAGGTTTGTCGAGGATGATATGGTCATACCTTGTTCACCATCGCCAAACAAGAACGCCGAGACTGAAGAAACGGAAACTACCGAGCAAGTGGAAGAGAGCCCTAGGGCTCTTCAAGTACCGCCGTCACTATCGCCGCCTAAACTTGACTACGACAGGAGACCAAACATGATCTTATTCAGCCCACCCAAAGAATCGAGAGTTGCGGAACCCTCCAAGATGTTCAGTCCCCCTCCGATGGAACCGCCAAAACAGTCCGCATCGGCTGTACCGAGTGAGATGATACGAGCAGGCCTCAAGCGAAAGTTGAACGGCGAGAACCAAAACGAACCCAACAAGGCAACCAAGCTTCAGCAAGGAAAGGAGAATGGCAATGAGACTGGGATCAAGAAAGGACTCTCTGCCCGTGACCCGCACAAGAGGAAAAGCATCAAAGAGACCGCAACGAAACCGAGAGCCCCGCTGTCAGCAAAGAGCACGAACGAGCACATTGTCTCTCCGAAGAAGCCGGTGAAGGTGCACAAGGCGCCAAAGGGTAAGGAGAAAGCTGACCTGCCCGCTCCGGAAGAGAAGTCAGCAGTAGAAGAAACGCAAGGAAATTCTACGTCGGCATTCACGAAAGTCGAGATCCTCCCACCGGCTCTGGAACCTACTCCTGAAGTTGCGGAGATTCCCGAAACCGATATTCTGATCACACCTGGAACACCAGAGCGCGCCTCTGAAAGCACTGTTGTGACCCACGACACCCCGCCGCCAGCCCACATTTCATCTAATGGAGAGACGTCGCGGCCTAGCAGGCGTGCTAGAGCGGCGATCAGCTATACGGAACCCAATTTGCGCGACAAGATGCGACGACCGACCAAAGAGCTCTTTGATGCCGTTGCTGGGGAGGGCAAGTTCCTTCACAGGCCGGCATCGCAACAGCAGCAGCAGCAACGCAAGGGCGACGAGTCAGCACCGACGTCAGTAAGCAAGGTCAAGGCCGAGCCGTCGCCGGCGGTGGATACAAGTAGTCTGACCAGCAGTACGCTGTTTGAGAAGGAGAAGGAACCACAGCCGGAGGAAGGAATATTATCTCCAAACGGCATCCTCCCGAGCTCAGTAGACCTGGGAAGGAGAAGACGCGCCTCATCCTTCTCTACTGCAGCCCCTGCAATGACAATTCCTTCGGTCCGAGAACAACCAACTCTAAACCCCCCAGCCGCGGAGGAGACCGATGAAAACGCCGCGGTCGAGGCTCAGATTCAGAAGGAGCTGAGTAATAGTATTACAACACGGCCCAGGGGTGGAAAGGGGAGGCAATCAATGAGCCGTTCCGCACCCACGATCCCAACAGAAAATCACGAAAACGAGGACGCACAACTCTCGACGAACTCAGCCTCGGTGGATCTCTACGACTTTGCTAGTTGTGCATCTCCGGATAGCGCAGCACCCCAGCTAGAAGCGACTACCGATGATGTTCCTGTTAATAAGAAGGCGCCAAAAGGTTCAAGAAGAGCGTCCTCAGCTGCTTCGACCGAGACAACAGCAACAGCATCCGCGAAGCCAAGATCTTCCCGAAAAAGGGCTTCGATGCTGGTGCCGAAGAAAAGCTTGTGGGCTGAAGAGTTAACGCAGGAGGAAGAGGATGAGGAAGATGTCGGCAATGACAGTGGCGGGTCCTTGTCCAAGGGGAGGGCCTCGAGGAGGAGAAGTATGATGCTTTGAATTGACCTTGGCAGAGCTGGGGAGCCTGAGATGGAATTGTTGTATAGTTGTTTCACACGGCACAGCGTAAGGCGTTTTGTGGTTTACAGGATATGGAGCTGAATCACACGTGGAACTGGACAAGAGCCCCCCCCCCCATGACTGTACTTAACAAGCAAGCTGGCATGTTTGGATAGCTCAAACATGGAGAGGACACGACACAAATGTATTTTATGACCTGTATAAGAATATTCCCCCTGATCAAGCATCAACAATGCGTTGCTGCGCGACCGTTAGCGCTGACAGCTGGCAGCGGATGCCACGACACTGGACGTTCTTCCGTTCTGTTCGGCAGTCCTCTGCCCCACCTTTCAGTGGTGGGGTGTCGTCCACTGGCGGCGGAAGCAGGGAGCTTGGTCCAGGTCGATTCCATCAACTTTTCGGAGGGGGTCCAGCATCCCACCTTTGACCTGAGGTTGACGCTGAAGCTGCCTGCCCGATCATTGAACTGGAGAACAGCAAACAACAACGGCGGCCATTCCTTCTCCAGATTTTTGCCAACCATCCTGCTTCCCCCCGCGCATTCTGAAGCATCACCATCTGAAGACGAAGTCTATACCTACCTACAGCTTTCTTCTTTTCAGTCACCAGTAAAGCAACCCATATAAATCAGGCACCATGCAGGCACCGGTCCTGGTAATGAGTATGTTCCAGCGCTCGAAGCTACCTCTTGCCCCTTTTCGCACTGATATTGGGGATATCCTCACTTGTCAGCCGGCAGTAACCATGCAGCATACTGACTGACCTTACCTCCTACCCTTACAGACACCAACAGTGGTGAGAGGCAAACTGGCCGCAAGGCTCAGATGTCCAACATCGCCGCCGCCAAAACGTACAGTTCCAAAGGCCCTCCCCCCCCTAATAGCGGATAAGACCGCCTTTCACCCCGCCATGGACACTGACTGACCGCCCCCCCTCGGCTCGTAGTGTCGCTGATATCATCCGATCCTGCCTCGGCCCCAAGGCCATGCTCAAGATGCTTCTCGATCCCATGGGCGGTATCGTCCTCACCAATGACGGCCATGCTATTCTCCGCGAGATCGAAGTGTCGCACCCCGCAGCCAAGAGCATGATCGAGCTCAGCCGGACACAAGACGAAGAAGTTGGTGACGGTACCACAACAGTCATCATTCTCGGTAAGGGAAACTTTGGCTACAGCTGCGCTGTATACCGTTCACTGACATGTGGTATTCACAAACAGCCGGCGAGATCCTCGCGCAATCCCTCCCCCAGCTCGAGCGCAACATCCACCCCGTCGTCATCATCTCGGCCTTCAAGCGCGCCCTCAAGGACGCCCTGCAGATCATCGAAGACATCTCGCTCCCGATCGACATCAACGATGACCAGGCCATGTACAAGCTCATCTCGTCCTCGATTGGCACCAAGTACGTTTCCCGATGGTCGGAACTCATGTGCGGGCTAGCGCTCAAGGCCGTGCGCACCGTGACGTGGGAGATGGGTAACGGCAAGAAGGAGGTCGACATCAAGAGGTATGCGCGCGTGGAGAAGGTGCCGGGCGGCGAGATTGAGGACAGCAGGGTATTGGACGGCGTTATGCTCAACAAGGACATCACACACCCCAAGATGCGCCGCAGGATCGAGAACCCGCGCATCATCCTGCTCGACTGCCCGCTCGAGTACAAGAAGGGCGAGTCGCAGACCAACATTGAGATCACAAAGGAGGAGGACTGGAACCGCATCCTGCAGATTGAGGAGGAGCAGGTCAAGCAGATGTGCGAGCATATCCTTGCCTTTAACCCCGACCTTGTTATCACAGAGAAGGGTGTCTCTGGTGAGTTCGACTCCATAAGTGGGAAGCGCGTATCACGTCGGTGGCAGGAAAGCTAACGATGATTTCGCTCACAGATCTCGCACAACACTATCTCATGAAGGCCAACGTTACCGCGCTCAGACGTGTGCGCAAGACCGACAACAACAGAATTGCCAGGGCGACCGGCGCTACTATTGTCAACCGAGTAGAGGATCTCCAGGAATCCGACGTTGGCACTAACTGCGGCCTCTTCGAGGTCGAGAAGATTGGCGACGAGTACTTCACCTTCCTCACAAAGTGCAAGGACCCCAAGGCCTGCACCGTCCTTCTCCGCGGTCCCTCCAAGGACGTTCTCAACGAGATTGAGCGCAACCTGCAAGATGCCATGGGCGTGGCGCGCAACGTCATGTTCCACCCCAGGCTATCGCCCGGTGGTGGTGCGACCGAGATGGCCGTGTCCGTCAGGTTAACACAGCTCGCGAAGAGCATCGAGGGTGTCCAACAATGGCCGTACAAGGCCGTCGCCGAGGCCCTCGAGGTCATTCCCCGTACACTTGTCCAGAACGCCGGCAAGAGCCCCGTCCGTGTGCTCACCGATCTCCGCGCGAAGCATGCCGAGGGCAAGAACTCGTGGGGTATCAACGGCGATACTGGTGCCATTGTGGATATGAAGGATTACGGGGTCTGGGAGCCCGAGGCCATCAAGGTGCAGAGCATGAAGACTGCTATCGAGGTATGTTTGGACTTTTTTTTATCCATTTTCTTGACATTCAGTTTCGATGCTCTTCTAACTGTCTACTGACCATCTACACAAACAGGCTGCCTGCCTCCTATTGAGAGTTGACGATATCTGCAGTGCCAGAAAGGCACAGCCAGGTGTCGGTGTCAGCTCTGGCGGCGGTGATGAGTAAATGATATGAAGGGTGCGGGTGGGTAACCCAGGGTCAACTGAGTTATAGTCAGTCCGGCAAAAGGTGGTATGATATCCCGTTAATGATTCTTTGGTGGTCAACGCATAGCACCCATTGCATGAGCACCCCTTTATGTATATGCTAGATGGACCTTGGCATGGTAGATAAAAGGGGTTCTGAAAGGCCTGGTCAAGAGGTCTATCCTTGTTCCGTAACCGCAGGTCGTGATGCTGTCTATGCTTTCCCCTGTCGCTGATTGTTGCTCTACTCGCTTGGGTAAAATCAATACTCTCAACATCCCCCTTCAGTCGTCTTCAACGATAAGTAGCCCAGACTCCGCATTTCCGGGTACTACTGCCCCGGAAGCAGCCGCAGCCGTGGTCGAAGTGGACTTGTCCGCTTCCTTTGCGGTACTCTCCCCAGCGGTGTCGTTGCTAGTGGCTCCAGCTCCGGCTGCACTCTCCTTTGCGCCTCCCTCGTCCCCAGTCTTTGCAGTCTCTTTCTTCTCGGCCCCATTTGCTGTCGTCATACTCCCTCCTTGACTTGCACTACCATTTCCACTTCCACCTCCACCTTTACCCCCCTTCCCTTTATTCTTCTTCTTCTCCCTCTTCTCCCGATTCCTCCTTGTCTTCTCCTCATCCGCCCTCTCCCTCTCCCTTTTCTTGGCTTCAAACTCCTCCCTCTCCTTCTCCTTCGCAACCTCCTCATCCATGATCCTCAGCCGTTCATATTCCCTCCGGCGGGCAGCTTTATAGACATGAAACTCGCCCGATCCCGCACCGGCGGAAGAACCCTGGACGTTGGTCACGATTTCCGGAGGGGGAGGTAGTCGAGAGGAGCCGGAAGTGGCGGAGGAGGGGAGCGGTGGGATGATGATTTCTCGGTCGGGTTTGGCGAAGAGTTGTTGCAGGTGGGAGGCCTGAAGGGAGGTGGGAGAGGAGGCGCGGAGACGCTTGGTGGGGCGGGAGGAGAGGCGAGAGGTGGAGGTTGGGATCGAGGAGGGGTCGTCGGCTGACATTTTTGCGACTTTGTTTTGTGTTTTCTGTTGGGAATGGTATGCGGTGGCGGTTGCGGCTGCGGTTGTGATGATGGTGGTGCGATTTCAAGGTTCGGGCCAGCGCAAGCAAACGCGGCGGGTTGTTCTGGTTCGTGACGTTCTGAGGAGCGAGGCGCGCGCACGCCTTTGAGTTTGTTGTTCTCTTTTGTGGTGCGATTAAGCGGTGATTTGGTGATGACGGTGGGCTCACGAAAGTTTGCTATTGCAAATACTGGAGGACCTCGAGGTGGAGATGTGAAGCTGGAGGTTGAATCTGGGCCGGAGAATAAAGTCGCGACAACGGACGGGTCGATCGCAGCGATGGGGTTTGAATGCGACGCTGAACTGAGCTGCAGCTGATGGGGGAGCTGGACCCGTTGAACAAGGCTACAGGGCTGATATTGGTGGTCTGTGCGCGTGGCTGCTCAGTGGCCGTTTGACCTTTGATGAGTTCAAGAAGCTGTCTCGATTAGAGTCCCACATTGAAAGCTACAAGCTCCAGGAATCCCGATGTCTGCAAAGTCACGCGATCAAAACCACATGCGTCAAATGATATGGCTTGGTCTAATGTGGTTTGGTGTCACGGAATGGTCATGGAATAGACGGAGAGCTAAGTAGCCAAGCTTTGGGAAATTGAATCATATGTCTTCTACACGTGGTTATAACGCGATTGTCACGATGTCATGGATATCGTATGTTCCCAAGTCGATTGTGGTGTGCCTTTCTACAAGTCCAACTTGGAACTCATCCATCCAGTTTATTAGCCAAAGATGGCCGTGTCTGGTCATCGGTACTGTACGGTTACATACTGCAGTAACACGGGAAGAAGCCGCCAGGAACGAGTCCGGTTCGCTGTTGTTGGCGCCGGCTCTGTCAAAGACGCAAAGTTGCGGTGACATGCGAATCCAATTGGGAAAGAACCTAACCTCTGTTGAGTGTTAACAATTCTGATTGGCTGAAGCGTCAGAAAGACGGAGAACCCCGCGCATCCAATCGAGCCAGAAATGGGGCGCGAGGGACTCTGGCACGTCTGGAAAAAGGCGGGAAAGGCCACTGGAATGCAAGAGATTGATAATGTATGACTCCCTGCTCTTGTCGGATCCAATCACAGCTCAGCACATCCTGGGGGCCGCCCAGCCAGCCCCTCTAGCCCCTCCTCCACCACCAGCGATCACAGTGTGCAGTGTCCATCATCTCAATACGCAGCCATTCAATAGCTAGAAAAACTCAAAGTGCGGCTGTGTACCTTACCGAAAACGGAGAGGTGCGTATTCATGTTAGTGTTGCCCTCTGAACATACTGGACCGGGAGGTGTAACACGCCAACCAAGCAGACTCAAACAAGAATTAATACTGCCTTACAAGAGTCTTTGGGAATAAGACAGCCACGTTGTTGACAGGTATTCATCTACTTGGCTGTCTCTTGGCTCTAGCTCGCGAGCCCAAAACGACAACTCACCTCATGTTTACGGGTTGCTGGTGACGCATACAGTCTGGGTTCCATTGGGGCCATTTTGCTCCAGCTCTCTGTCCCCAGGAACTGCCCCTGCCCCTGGGAAGGGGCCTGGAGGATCTGCCTACCTACCTATCCCCGCGCATATGAGGCGCTACATACACGTTACGACCGCGGGACCTGCTAAGCCGTGCCTAGAAGGACTTCAGTTGCAGTCCGGGGGGGGGGGGGGGGCTAGAGGGGATGAGCAGGCAGTCTCTGCCTCAAAGTTCGGTTGCCTTATTTACCTAGTCGACCTTGTCTCGTTTACTTTCTTTTCGTCTCTTCTTGTCTTTCTTCCACCTTCATACACAGCCCTTGTACTCCAATAACTCTACTTATCCCATCTGTTGCCATAGTTTTGTGGTACAAAGATACCCTTCCTTGTCCAGTCCCTCACTTTGACGGTGTCTGTGATACACAGTCAACCAGCATTGCTCTTTCCGCCACTTATTACTCGTTTTTGACAAAAGACCTCCACGGTACGCGGTGGGGAAACTTTGGGCACCTCGACTTTGACAACTGCTGCAGCTACTACGCAACCGCATAGTACATCCACTTATTGTTCACGTCACACTCCGTTCCCTCTTCCTTCTCGACCATGGGGAAGCCTAGACTTATCATCCTGATCAGACACGCCCAGTCTGAGGGTAACAGTACGTTGTCCACGCCTTTCGAGGCTATCTTCTCTCTTACCTGCCTCCTTGCGGCTAACACTAACATGGATCGACAGAGAACCGCGATATCCACCAAACGATTCCCGACCACCGCGTAAAGCTCACAGACGAAGGATGGCAACAAGCATACGATGCCGGCCGTCGGCTGCGTAAGCTGTTGCGCGCCGACGACACCATCCAGTTCTTCACCAGTCCCTACCGCCGCACACGCGAGACCACAGAAGGCATCTTGGCCACTTTGACCAGCGACGACCCGGAACCCAGCCCCTTCAAGCGCAATCACATCAAAGTCTACGAAGAGCCTCGCCTACGAGAGCAAGACTTTGGAAACTTTCAGCCCTGTAGCGCAGAGATGGAACGCATGTGGCAGGAGCGCGCGGACTACGGTCACTTCTTCTACCGGATCCCTAATGGGGAGAGTGCCGCAGATGCATACGATCGAGTCAGTGGCTTCAACGAAAGTCTCTGGCGCCAGTTCAATGACGACGACTTCGCCAGCGTTTGCGTTCTAGGTAGGTCGAACTTTTCGAGACATCGCTGTGTTTGAAGAACCTGGCGGGAAAGCTAACCAAGTTTGCTACAGTTACACACGGTCTTATGTCGCGAGTCTTCCTTATGAAGTGGTACCACTTCAGTGTCGAGTACTTCGAGGATCTGCGAAACGTCAATCACTGCGAGTTTCTCATCATGCGCAAGAACGACAGTGGCAAATACATATTAGAAAACAAGTTGCGAACGTGGTCGGAGCTAAGAAAGGAGCGTGCTACACAACAGGCTCTCTTGACCGGAGGAAAGTCCAAGCTAGACTCGGCCCCTTCCCCCACCCCGCGCATGCCTTCCGACCCGAGCGCACCACCAGTCGAGATGCGACGGCGGTGGGGAGGTTGTCCGAACGGCTGTAACCACGACAAGAACTTCAAGATCCGCTCGACGCTTGCCGACCTGGTCAAGACCGACCACATGATTTCAAACCACGTTACCTCCACCGATATCACTGTTACCGATAGCGCGAGTGGTAATTCGACAGACGCCGATACCCCCAGTGTAGCTAGCAGCAGCAGCATCGCGTTTACAGATGGGGCCGGCCCTGCTACTGGCAAGGCTCAAGGAGTCGCCAACGCCTCTTTCAACGGTACCGCACTGCCTAATGGGCCGACGATTGCGAGCCGGAGACCGACGGCCAAACGTATTCAGTCTACTAGCAGCGGGGCCACACTGTCGCCAGCAGTGGCACACGCTGGTCCGGTCATCGACATAACCAAGGCGCGCGAAGAGGTCGTCTCGAGTCCAGACGGCACGCCATCCTTTATATCGATCGAAGACCGCCTTCGAAACCATCTCAAGAGTCCCAGCGCGCCGCCCCGTCCCCATAGCCATAGCCTTCATATTGGTCGTGATGGTGGAGGCACCTACAGTGGACATAGCAGCAGCGAAACCGAGTTGTCAGATGATGAGCGGCGCAAGAATGTCAAGGTCAAAACCCCGAGTGGCGGACTCACCCCCCATGCTGTTCGTCCAGTACCACACCGCCATCCTAGCCGGGACCAGAGCCAAATGGGCCGCGGCGCCAAAGCCAACCGTCTAGGCGATCATCCTCCCAGTAGCGATGGCGAGCATGAAGCCGATGGAGAGCACGAGCCTGACTGCGAAGAAGATGAAGAAAATAGCGGTCAGGAGCAGGAAGAGGGCGCGAGGCTTACCGAGTCAACAAAGAAGAAGCAGAGTCTAGAGGACTTGGCAGACGCGGAGAAGGAAGATAGAAGCCTGCGAGGGAGTGTGTACTAGGACTCTCTTGTTCTTTACACTTTCTTCTGCACTCTGGCTGTCTTGTCTTTTTCTTCTTCCTGTTGGTCTCCATGCACTTGGCTTTGGGAGTTTTTGTGAGGCTAAAGGTACGACCTTGCTTCCATTATATGTGGCTGTGGGAGTTGGTTTTCTGTTTTGTTTTGATAAGGCGCTTTGGGGTTTCATGTACATAGTTAGCGAATTTCTCCGGTCTGCGTTTCAGTTGGTTCGGGCACGATCACGAAGATCACGGGTGGTCCAGGGATGAAAATGGATGGGTGAGATGTAAGTATGCAGTGAGATTGACATGAAGATACCCCCAATGTCTTTACATACTGCTAAACTGCTATTCATAACTTTTTTTGTTTCCTCTAACTAGATGCATTCAAGTCACTGCCGTCTCTCGAGCCTTTCCAGTTAGTAGTATTCACCTGTATACCGCTCGCTATAGTAACAATTAGCGGCCAAAACTCTTGTCTCCTACTAGGTGTTGCAGCTTGCCTGTGAAACTCGTTTGCCTCTCGCCACTTCTCTATTTACTTCTCTCCTCTCTTCACTCTCTTCTCACTCTCTTATCATCTTCGTTCTATACCATTCTGTTACTCTTTTCATTCCTTCCCTCTTCACGCTTTTCATTCACTTAGCGTTCACTTACCTTAACTTTTCTTTCTCGCCTTTCTCTCTTCACTTCTCTCCTCACTTCTTCTCTCTTCACCTGTTCTAGTTTTTCCTAAATAGTATCTATGGTAATAGCCAAAGACTAACATGCGCGCGGTATTTAATTTTATTTTTTATTTTTTTTTTAATTTTTATTTTTTTTATTTATTCAGCTGTGAACTTGCTCGATGCTTATGATGCATTCTTGAGCAACTTTCATTTGTCAACACTGTCTATCTCTTTCTTGCGGCAGGGACGAAACATTGGAAAGTCGCTAGCTAGCTAGGTAGCTGGAGTAGTCAAATGATTGAGTTGAAGCGGATCCCCGTAGAACTTGTAACTGCGAAGCGAGCAAGTCTACACCTTGTAAGACAGAAAGATAGGTCATATGACCAATCAGTTCTCCATATTCACAATAGCGATTGCTGTGTTTTTGTTTTCTTTTGGCTTCCTTCGGGAAGGTTTAAGGGGTTTAACGAACGACGGGCCAACCACACGGGGGCGGGGGCGGGGGGGGGGGGGGGGGGAGCGGGAGATGACCCGGGCGAGCTGCTCAGCCTCATTTTTGCGTTCGCTTGAGCTACTCTCCAAGGGGGGAGGTGAGAACTTAGGTAGAGATATGAAGGAGGAAAAATATGGAATCGTCCTATATTGAGGAAACACGAGGAAGCAGGATTGAAGTTAGCTGAGCTAGAGTATACGGATATGTAACTGCATTATAGCATTATCGTAAAGTAGTAGTAGTAGATAACCAAAGTGGTAGCTGGAAGATATGTGGAAGGTATGTTAAGGATAGACTCTTTTCCACATCATCTTTCCGTCCCTGCTTTCTCTTCACCCAGCTAGCAAACCAAATCTCCGACATCTCCCACTCCATCCCATCCATAAACAAAAACATAGAGATACCCACCACACCTCTATTAGACACGTGAACCCATTCCCAACTGTCCCTTTCTCCCCTTGAGCTGGGCAAAACGCAGCATCATTCCCACAACAAAAGGACCGTTACTTCCATAGAATCAACCAAGCGCCTCGCGCCTCATTAACATCATCCGATGCGACGCAGCTTAGAAACCATGCGTGGCCCTTTCATTCGCTTCCTTTCCTCCTTCCTCCTTTTTCCTCATGCTTCCTGAACCCTAGGCGCTCAGGTGGTTTCCTCTTCTCCTTGGGACGCTTCTCGACTCTTGCCCTAGGCCACAACCTCCCGACTCTAAAGATATGTGCAGCGAATGTGTAAATGTACCGCGCACTGATATAGAAAAAAAAGCAAAAAGAAAAACCAGCCGCTTTTCTATCTAATCACTCGTTGTCGTATCCGAGATTAAAACCACCACCTCCTGCCGGCGGCCTTTGACTAGAATAGGAGAATGGTGGAAGGACCAGAGTCCACGAAACTGCATCCAAAGGCCCCCTTCACTGACGCGGCTATCGCCAAGAGCGAGGGCGGAGATGGGTAGCCAAAAAAATCCAACGAACGTTTCTGCCGAGCGAAAACAATAACGATAGCGCGACTCGAACAGTCAAAATGGGTATCCTATGAGCGGGAAAAAACGACGCGTGGACCATGATATACAGCGGTCGAAACAAAGAGATAACTAGCGACGACCGTCAATAACTAGTTCTTGTTCTTTAAAAATTCTGCGAGATGCCAGCCGTTTGCTGAGGGTAATGTCCGGAATTCTCAATGCGAGTATTCCGCCTCGCCACAACATCTCGAATGACCGGGGGTCCTGCGGGAGTAAAGTTGTTCGGGGCAACTGGGCCGTTATAGGCACCCTCGGGGGCGTTGTATGGTTTAGCGGTACCGTACTGCGGCGGCTCATAATAACTAGTTCTTCCTCCATAGGCAACTCCGATAGGGGCCTCGCCGGACTCGTCAGAGCGGGCAGCTGTGCTGTAATGAGACGAGGCGTTTGAGGGTCCTCGGTGAACATTGGCGTCTGGGCTGTCACCGGCTGAAGGTCCCATTGCTCCCAGGATCTCGCCTTCGGGCGAAGGTGGTTCAATCAACGGCTCGCCAGATCGTGCGTCGGATACGGTTCCCCGGGTTGGCGATGTGGTGTCGGAATAGGCAACGCCAGGCATGCCGCCTGAAATGGTCGTTGAGGCCTTCCTTCCAGCCGAACTCGCGAGGGTCGTAGAGCCCCAGCCCCTGTACCCGGACGTTCCATCCTCCCTCATCTCGTACACTCCAGCAGCACCACCGCCGGCAACGGCAGGTATCGTAGGGTCGACATTGGGGTTGTAGCCATAGTCCTCCACTTCCCTTCGCCTCTGTTCCTCGGCATCCCTCCTTTGCTTCCGCTTTCTCCAAAGGAAGATACCGGCCAATACCAAAAGGGCAACGGCGACAATGGGCACCACTACCGCAATGGCAATCTTCCCACCGCTACCCAATCCACCACCGCCAGAGGAAGCACCCTTAGTAGCATCAATGGCCCCGGCCGATGATGTGGTGGTCGAAGCACTGGAGGTGGTGGGGTTCGCGGAAGGCACTACTGTCTCAGTAGTAATGATTTGCGTAATCTTGGTTCGTGTTTCCCCTTCAGTCGTGATAATCTGGACGCTAGTAAAAGTTTCCGTGCTCGGCTGCTGCGTAGTGGTGGGCGGCGCCGGTGTTGATGTCGTTGGCGGAGCTGTGGTAGAGCTTATTGGTGGCGGCTGTTGCGTCGTCGAGGTATTAGGTGTTGATGATGGCGGTGGTGGTGGTATAGCTGAGGATGATGAAGGGGAAGTCGGCAAAGCCGAGGAAGTCGTACTAATAGGCGGCTGCACTGACGGTACTGAAGTGGTGCTGATGATAGTGGTCGGCCCAGGCGGGGCCGCCGTGGTAGGGTCGTTGACCGTTGCTGTATTCGGGTCAGCAGGAGTCCCAGGCGCGGTTGTTGCCTCAGGACCTGAGATGCCCGTACTTGTGTTGTTGCTGGACATGTTGAAAACCTGACGTTCCAACCGTGGGAAGTCCCTTCTGATCCGGGGTGTCATGTTAGCAATAGGTAGGGACTCGAGATGCTCATTGGTGAGTATGAGAAAAAGCACTGGACGAAAGGTCAAAATGGAAAGGGAAAAGGAGGAGCCACCAAGACGCCGAAGGCTCCGAGATAAGGGAAGCCAAGCGCAAACAGTTGCGCATTGTTGATGGTGAGAAATAGCGGAAATAATTGACCAGACAGTGGCAAGGGCTAGTGCGCAAGCAAACGTACCTTTAGATGGGCTGAGCCCTAGTCCAGCACGCAGATTGAAAAGCAATCGGTCGCGAATTGCGAGAGGGTTTTCTTGGGCTTTGATGGGGGAGTTGTTTGAGGAGTTGAGGCGCAAGATGGAACGAAGACCGCTCTCTGGCTGGATATAGCGCGATGCGGATCCGTCACCTAAAACTAGCGGCTACTCGGCTGGCGGACAGTTCTGGGCGTCGAGTCGCAGACGCAGGGGCAAACGCAGAGGGACCTGGGCGATCAGCTATTGGGCGGCAAAGGACAGGCTGAGAGAGCTGAAAAGCAAAGACTGCTTGCTTGCAGGGCGGCTTGCGCGGCAGTGATTGAGACCCGGGCTGTTGTGTATCGGAGGTTGTGGTGGTGTTGAGCGTGTTTTGTTGTCGGAGAGAAAAGTCGGCGACAGCGGTAGGCAGCAAGGAACAGTCTCTGGCGGCCGAAGAGCGAGTGCTTGGATGGGGTTGGAAATGGGCGCGATGGACAGGGGGCGCGGGCTTTGGCGAGATTCTTTTGAGCAGGTTGGTTGGTGTTCCAATGGCATGTGTCTTGGAGCTAAGCCAAGCACAATGGTCCGTCCGCCTGTGTGTAAGCCGGTTCCGTGGTGCTTCCAGGTGTAGTGTAGGTAGCGCGAGTTCATCGGAGGGCGGTGCTCTACCTCTACCTTCCAAAAAGAGGCGGTACGACGGTCAATGTCACCGGGCCAGATAAGCGTTCTAGATTCGGATACGATGGTGCGAAGCCAGTGATGTGCTATCGATTTGAGGGGAACCTAGTAGCAAAGTGGAATGCCTCTTCCTTTTTTTTTTTTTTTTTTTTTTTTTTTAAATTTTCATTCAAGTTTTCTTTTTTGGATGCTCTCCGATCACCATGTACTGATGTAGTGTAGAGGTATGTTTCCAGATGCCAAGCAGGTGACAGTCAAGGAAGGGATGGAAGTGGAAGAGTTGAGATGACAGCCGTTGTCTGTGTGGACAAGGGAAAGTGAACTGACGCCCGCTGTGTCTGGGTGAAGTTGGGATGAACGGGTTCGAAGACTGTGCGCTTCTTTGGTGGAGCGGGCGAGCATCACTGGAGCGAACCTATGTCGATCGGAGGGTGCCACAAAAACAAGTCCAAATGAGAAGAAAGCCAGACCGCTCGCTTGGGTGCAGTGCGGGCCTCTTTTTTTGTTTGCTGTGTTTGCGATTGCACCTCAGTGATGGAAACTCGGAGATGTCCCAAGGTCCTGGAATCTGGGAATACCCAAGATGATCCAAAACAGAGTTTCAAAACAATGGCGAGAACACGGGTCAATGACGTGAACTGGATATAATTTCGTATTCTGAAGAGAAGCGAGAGGGGATAAAACCGGAAGACAGGCTCCATGTGTCTGATGTACCTCTATAACCGCGGCCCCACAAGGCGTGGATGCTTCTGTGGATGCCATCAAAGACGACGGGAATCCAGCAACAACAAAGCCCTCCTTGACGTTGCGAGAGCGAGGTGGTGGACCTGCCTGAGGTGCTGCACATTCCAGTTCCAATTCAGCCGCATTTTCAGCGCTTCTGGCAACCGCGATGCCTGTGGTCGTGGTACCTACAGTTTACCCCTGGTTTGATTGCTAGCGCGGTACTTGCAGAGAGCTCTTTACATAGGTATCTTGAGCAGGGCACTCTGCCCACTTTCATGATGGCCAGGCGCGACTGCTGACATGACCAGCGTCCAGTTGGCCATTGCTCGCCTTGGAGTGGTTTAAACCAATGAGAGCAGAGAATTCCTTGCCCTTTTCCTTTATCCGAGGACCCGCCGTCGCAACCTAAGTCTCGAGCTAACAATCAAGCCAAGGTTGAACTATACACTACTTCGCTAGCCCACTGGAAGAAATGCGCAGTGGTAGAGAAAAAGAAAAAAAAAAAAAATATGACGGGCAGTTCCGGCAACAGCGGCACCTCCCTACAGTAGCTATGGACAGAAGGGCAGCCGAACAGCATACGAGAGAACCAATCCTACCTACCCCGGAAATACGAGGATCACAAGAGGGCTCCAACAACACCAACACCGCAGACTCACAAAGTGGCAATTGACACCGACCGGACAGACAAAACCAACACCAACAACACAAAAATTCACGGGTCTATTCCACCAATCTATATACTTACCCTTTCAGCCTCTTCTCTACGTCAATGTCATTTCCCCTTCCAGGTTTCTTTTTATTCTACTTCCCATTTCAGTCACAAGTCTTCTGTTTTGCCCAGAAACCCTAGTGTAGCATCGATCACAATCCCGCTTTCTCACGGCCTGGCCGCTCTTCTTCACCTTTCTACTTTTCCGCACTTGTGTCTTCCCTATAAAAACCCCACCATACTGCCAGTTTGTGTAGGCGCTACGTATAAAGGCATCACGTTACCAACGGCGAAACCCGACAAAGTTCAAAAAGAACAACGGTGCCCTGGACACCAACCTTTTCCAGATTGTCCGTTCCGCTTCCAGTTGATGTGTCCACCTGACCAGAGAAGAAAAAATTGGCATGTAGGGCGACGAGAGGGGGGGGAAAAGCGAAATTAAACACCTCCATCGATGCCAGATCGGAGGGCGGTGGTGTTCGGGGGTTTTCCATATTCAATTCTAATTCCAAGTCGCCCCAGCCTCACAACGGGACAGGATTCCCCGGTCTTGGCAAGGTCCCGAGCTAGCGGGCCCTTGCGGATGGCCGGGACTTGGGAGGTTTTCCGCTGTCGTGTGAGTTCAGCGGGCCGGTGACAGCTGCGAGTTCGGGTTTGGACTGTCATTCATGTCTCGGCGTCGTCGTAGTCGACGTCGTAATCCAAGATTGCTGCTGATGGCGATGGGAGTTGTTTGAAGATGGCCTCTCCAAAATGCTGTGTGCCCGTGCTTTGACGTATTTCCATTGGAAAAATCGATCGTCAAGGACATCAATGCCATACTTGTCAGGGAAACGCATAACTTGTATAAGAGAAAGTGATGGCTATCTTCAAACTGCAATTATTGTACAAGTGTAGAAACACAAAAACTGGGGTTTCCGTACCTGCGTCATCCATCCAGCAATTCTCATTGAGCATATTCATATCTGTCTCAACCAACCAACTTTTGCTTCCACCTAAATGCTTTAGTTGGTCGTCATAACCACTACACTACACTAGTGTAGTACATCAATAACAAGCACATCAATGGCGGGTAAAATACGCCCAGCCGTATCTTATAGCGTACTGCACCTCTGCAGATATAATACAGAGTGTACTACGTTGTTAGCGCGGTGAAATTGCAAGTGGCGACAATGGTAATCTTTCCTACAAAAGATCATTGGTGTGCCCGCCACCAGCCGGTCAAACTCTGTGAGGTGGCGGTACCGCGCTAACAAACTAAATGCCGGCCGAGGTGTACAGTACGTGTAAAACAGCAAAATATCCCACAGAAACGTCACGTCATGTATGAGACTCTACCCAAGCGTTCAAAACTTTGGAACCAAGAAAAGATCGACGACCGCATCAACTAGTGTATGATGGCTGATATAGTGTACAGGCATGCACGATTGGAAGTTTGGAAGGTTCTTCGGCTCTCGGAACGTCCAGTGGCGTTATCCTACTGCAGTGGAAGGTTTGGCTTACTCTTTGCGATACACAGCCTCATGAGCTGAAATGACTGGTGAGGAAACCACGAGGAACGGCTGATGGCTGATGGCGGGTTCTGGAAATAGAAGTCGATGTTGTGTGAAAGATGCATCTGTCCGTCTGGAGAGACAACGGAGTGGTTGATTACCGATTCGACCCGACTTACTCTTGGGATAACGTTGTCGGTCACATGTTGCTCCTTACACTGTTCGTCTGCTACGATGATGAAGCGACGCAGCTGTTTAGTAGACCGTATGATTGAATGTATAAATATAATGAAAGGGAAGGAGAAGAATCGTTTGGAAACTTTGGAAGAACGTGAAGAGAGAACTCAAGAGAGAACGTGAAGAAAGAAATGGAGAGAGAGTAAAAAAGAGATACTATAGTCAAGAGTGAACGGACAGATAAAACATCAATGTCATTGGCATTTTCCATTAATCGTCTACCAGCAGACTCCCTCATACCTATACATTACCCAACCTCCTCTCCCGTCTTTTCCCTCCATCCCGCAACTACACATCAATATACTCATTAAACCTCAACACACCATTACTCTTGAGCAACCCATCCACGCCCTTGGGCAACTTAGGAAAGGGATCTGCCCCAGCCAATCCTCCCAACGCACCACTAATCCCCAACTGTTTATCACCACTGTCTTTGCTATTCGCCGCCTCAGGTTCACCCGACTTGTCCACCACCAGAGCCAACCCGTGAGACTTGATAGCGTCAACCAGTGCTGGCACCATGTCCTGTAGTCATTCACAACCGTTAGTGGAAACATCCACTTTAAGAGGAAAGTGTTGGGGGGAAAGAGAGAGACAGAGAGAGAAAACTTGCCAACAGCCTTGAACAACAAATCAACCCCATCAAGTTATTGCTCGTCGCCGTCCTCACCACATCCTTAATCGAGCTCGTCCTCCTCCCGTCACTCTGCAGTGTCCTTTCATCTGCCGCCTCCCGTCTACTAGCAGCCGTAGTCCCGCCCATATCCTCATCGCCATCTCCCTTGCTACAAGATCCCTGTTGCTGCTTCCGATCCTCTCTTCCCATATCATTGCACAAGAACACAGGGAAGTTCGGTTGCTTCCAGTTCAGCGCCGTGCACAAGGTAGGATTATACGAACTAAACACCACCGACCGGACGCTATCGGGTCTTTCAGCCCTCTGCGCGCGGGCATGGTCGAAGACGACGCTGAGGATCGCATCGGCGAACTCATTGACGTCGTCCGCCACAGTGCTGCTATTGGATTCAGCTTTTTCGTCGGCCGTCGGGTACAGGACCTGGATGTTGACGTGCATGCCCTTGGGAAGCAGGAAGAGGGCCTCGTGGAGGGTTATCCCGATGTTGGCGAGGATGCGATGGACGTCGGCTATTTGGTCGAGGGTGTAAGTAGACAGCTCGGATAGGTTGATTCCGTTTCTGGCGGCTGCCGTGACGGTCTGGAACTGGGCGAGGGTAAGCGTGGACACGGGGACGTCGATACCGCCGCAGTTGATGGTCCATCTGGGCCAGAGTACAGGAACCCCGTCCTTGGTGTGCTGGACATAGATCTGGACAAAGTCGCCCGACAGACTGGAGCCGGTGACGAAGGTGCTTGTGTTTGTGTCGAACTGGCTCGTGGCCTTCCAGTACGTCTCAAAGTCCGTGATCTCGAGCGGCGTTCCGCTGAAGGGTTTGATAATTTGGACGTGGAAGCTGATCTGGCCAATGGCGCGCAGCCGAGGGTCAAATAGCGGCAGGCAGCACTTGCCAGAGCTGCTGAGCAATGCACGGAAGATATTTGGTAGAGCAACAGTCTTCGCAATGACCTTGGCGCCATACGTCGGGAATACCTCAAAGTCCAAAGTGAAGGATTCAAGATTGTCGATCTGAAATGACGCAACCCTAGTGTCTTCTTGGAAGGGAAGAATAATATTCTTGGGGATGAGGTCCGATGACTTGGATGAGATGGTAAGGCGAGCGGCTGGATACTTGCCGTCCTGGAAGAATAGTAGAGGTTGTTCGCTGTCTTCCTCAAAGCTGATCTGCACAACGGTTTTGGTGTCAAGAAAGTTGTGACCGTACCGGCGTAGGGGAATGATAGGGGGCGGTAATTCGAGCGCGGGGATGGGATCAATCGCGTCGAGGGACATGGGCATTGGCGCGGTGCTGCTAGCCATGGGAGGCAAGGCTCCTCCAATGTGTATAGGTGGGAGCTCGTTTGCCGCCTTCTCCTTTTTAGTTGGTGTGAGAAGCTTCATACACTCGAGATGCCCTTCCCAAGCCGCATAGTACATGGCAGGAAGGTCCTTCTCGTCGAGAATGTTGGGATCCGCGCCGATCTCGAGCAAAGCCTGCAGGCACGGGACATTACCTTCACTTGCTGCATGAACCAAAGGGGTCCAGCCGTAAAGCTTATCGATCTGATCGAGATCGGCTCCGTACTGCTTAAGCAGCACTAGAATCTCCGGAGTCTGCCCTGATCTTGCGACCAAATGTTGAGGGTACAGACCCTCGGCGTCAGCAAGAATCTTGGCACCATGCTTGAGAAGCAGCTCGACGATTGCCACTGAGCCATGTTGACAGGCAAGGTTTAGTGGTACATGGTCGGTATCAGACACCGGGTCTATCCGGGCAGACCTCTCGAGTAACCTGCCGACGCACTCAAGATGGTTACGGACGATGGAATGGACCAGGGGCGTAAAGTTGTCGTGGTCAATAAGATTGATAGTCTTGGGGGAAGCTACAGACCGGGAGGTTAGTCGTGCACCAGACAACAACATCTAGATGAGTGTGAGCATACCATTGAGCAAGGCGTCAATCATGTCGAGACGCCCATGCATGCTGGCATAGTGTAGAGGTACACGTCCATACGCGTCAGTCCTCTCCGCGTCGACTCCCTTGGACAGACCGTACTCCAGAACAAACGAGTTACCATATATGGCCGCCTGGTGGAGACAGTTCCGCTCATTGATATCATCCCAGGACTGAATGTCGACAAGCCCAGTGTCGAGAAGGACCTTGAGCGCTTCAAGCGAGCCTTCGTTGATGGACGCCAGGAACGTCCGCGTAACCCGTTCCGCTAGCGAGACATCGGCAGAGCCATCTGGAGCTGCTGTGGCCTTCATACGGTCCAGCATATCTTTGAGGGAGTCGATGTTTCCCGAGAGAACGGTGTCAAGCAGTAACGTATCGGCATCGCCCTCGTCAGTCCCAAGGAGATGTTGAGTGCTAACGACATGGTCGTGATCGGGCCTGGTTTCGAAGCTGACGTTGTCCCCATCAGCCCACGCTCCCAGTTCTTGTAAACTGGTGGTCGCTTGATCTGACAGCTCGCTGATGACGGTTGGGTTAAAGGCTGGTCGTTTCTCGACGACTCTTGAGAGATATAGCTCCTTTGTCTTGGACTTTGCTGTCTTGTCCCATTTCTTAAGAATTTTGGAGAAAGCTGTACCGTTGATCTCGACGAACTGTTGCAATTTGTTCAGGTCGTTGACAAACTGCTGGAAACCCTCTTGAAGGGTAGTGAACTTGGTGGACCGTCGTGAGGTCCCGCCGCTTCTTGATCGTAGAGCCTTCTTCTTGTCAAGAAGCGTCTTGAGCCGAATCTTTAGCTCGGCTTCCTTCTGGACATAGCAAGCGTTGACCTTGTCCAACTCTCTGTCCTAGACAATTGTTAATAATGCAAGGTACTGAGAGAAATACCTTACGTACTATTTGGAAGAAGAACGTGGCCTTGTTGGCCTGAAGAGCAGACTGGGTATCTAGAGGCTCGCCCGGTGCACGTCGAAGGTCCGTTTGCGGAGGTAGAATAGGGGTCGCAGATAGCTTCTTGATAAGCTGTATGTGAAAGTGTCAGCATCTGCGTCGCAGTCAACCGTATCTTGTGATAGAACGATGTAGTTTTCAAAATCGCAAAGAGCCAAGAATGCTGATATGAGCCCCCAAGTCCAGGCTTGGCAACATCATGATAATGCGCGCGAGCAGCAACAACAATAACAGCAACCGGAACGCATACCTTTTTGAGAGCTTTGTAGTTTACAAAGCTGGCAGCATACTCGGGGACCTCAAGTTGCCGCTTCTGTATTTGTTTGCCGAACTTCCTGTATTGTCATATCGTCTTAGCGCCCAACGATAACGGATGGAAATGAATCAAGAAGGCTTTCATCTCATGCTAGTGAGGTTAGGGAAAAGTGAGGCTAGAGATTGCAGACTCACATGGTGCTTAACGACGGCTACTGACATGCAGAAGCCTGGCGATGCGGTAAGAAAGTTGATGTCTGTGGTGAGACAATGCTGGTAGTTGCTTTCACGGTCTAGCGCCTGAACCAGTAAGACAGGTCTCTGGAGGGGAACACAAGACCCAATATCACGAGAGATTCGGTTCGGTAATTAGAATCCGTCCCGGAGGTAACCTATAATCTGTGTATTAACTAAGAAGGGTCTTTATAAGATGTGGAGTAGTGAAGATTCAGCCATAAGAGTGTTCGGGCACATACAATGATAAGTTCTTCCTCCTGATGTCGGGTACACAGGATGAGAGACTTGCAACGAGGACGGCTGTGGAGGAATGAGGTCAAAGTCCAGCGCCAGATTTGCCTCGGTGGGAATGTGAAGCTTTTGAAGGGCCAGTTACGGAGTCGATTACTGGTGAAAAAGGCGCTAGCGAGGTTGGATGGAACGTGAAGGTCGGGATGGAATCTGGATAGACGGGAGGTGGGAGTGGACGGGGAAGCTTCTTCAGACATGCACTGATGCAGTGAGGTGAGTGGTTTGTGAGGGATGGATGGAGTGCAGTTACAAAGTACTTCTCCTTTGGATGCTCCGTCTCGAAACTGAACTGAAAGATGACTGAGGTGTGTCTGAGATGGCCGAGAACCTTTGCGGTTGCCTTTGGTGATGAGACCTCGGAGGAAAAGCGAAAGTAGTAGTAGTCGAGGAACCGAGCCAGCTGGATTCCAGTGGTTCTAGTAAAAAGTTAAGCACCAGCCCGTCAACCTACCAGCTTTTGAGTATCCGGCGAGAAAAGAGGAAAGAAAGGGAGGCTTGGAGGATGGAAAGGGAAGCTTAAGGTACCCGAACCAAGGTGGGCAGGTGCTGAAGTGAGTGGTTGATGTCGGGTCCCCGAGTCCCCCATCCACATCGGGTCCCTCGTGTTACATGAGGTGTGGTTATCGATAGCGAAGTGGAAGGCGCGCGTGGAACCAAGGCGCTGGCTGTCAGGGTTGATGCTGCCAGTGTTGCTGTCGGACGCGCCAAGCCACCGGCATCTTGGTTGCTCCAGCACCTAGCTCCGACCTTTCGGGGATCTT